TTGACATTGTACAGCAATCTAACTAAAAATAAAAAATAAAAAAATAAATAAACCAATCGAAACTCAGAGCCTGCTGCCGCCACTGACAATGTTAACAAAATAATAAAAAAAACACAGACTAGCTGGCTGTCTGATGCATAAAATGTTGCAATCGGACAAGTGCAACTGCAAACCGCCAACTGGTAACTGAAAACTGGAAACTGCACTGTATGCAAATTGGCAACAAAAAAAAAAATAAATAAATGAAAATAAATAGCAACTTTTTCCGCTGAGGAGGCGTGTGTTCTCTGGTCTCTGTTTCTGTTTCAGTTTCTGTTTAAATTGATAAGCGTGCCAAATGTGATTTTATATTATTTTATTTGCGCTGCCACAATTCCCCAGCACAGATCATATATAATGCTTTAATGTACACATGTGCGGATGTGAATGTTTCATTTAAATCCGTTGGAAGTAGAGCCCTTTTGGAATATATTAATTTTGATATTAAATGCCCCCAGGTGACCTTTTCACGAACAAATATGAGTTACCAGACCAGAGTAATAAGCTATATTACCTATAGAGTTTGATTGAAAGATTAAATTTAATATTTAATTAACTAATCATAGCAGAGAGAGAGTTAATGTAGCATAAGCAATTATAACTATAGAACTTTAGAGTTATATAACTATTTTATTTTAATATTCCCATAATTGACCTTAAATGAGTAATTTTGGCAGAGGTTATCTCTGAATCATTTCCTAGATTTTGTATTTCTGTAGAATTCTATTTGCATAGAGAGTTCTTCCAGAGCTTTCTTTCTTTCTTCTAAAGCTTGACAAAGGCGCTTACGTGTCCCGCTGAAGATACCGTGGCAAGGCCATTAAAACTTGTATTTTTTTTCGGAGGAAAGAGCCAAAGTCAAATGGCCCAACTTTTAATGGAACCAAGGAGTTTCCTCTTCCTTGCTGCCCATTTCTCAGAGTAGAGTGACAAAAATCATAGATATACTTCCTATTCCTCCATAAATCCTATGCTTATAGTTTTAATAATATTCTAACTATTATTTGAGATTTTATTTGGTTTTAATTAAAAAAAAAAAGTATTCTTTCCAAACTATTTCCATAATTTTCTTTTTGTGCATTTTTTTCACTCACTTTGCCTGGCAATTTGTGAAATTGCAAAGCCTCCAAACTCTCTTTTGGAGGGAGGAGGTTGGGAAAAAGTGTGTATAAAAAGTTGATTCCTCTTTTTGGGAGGCCATCGTCACAATTTTTGTTGGCCAGCAGAGAACAAACATCGGAAGAGTCAGAGTGAGAGTCAGAGTCAGTGGCAGCAGCTACGCTGAGCGTGTCGGCCCCCCTTTGCATATCCATATATTTGCCTTAATATTCCATATTTATTTCGTTTCATTCTCTTTCCGGCCTTTAATGTGCCCGGCCCGATTTGAATGAATGATGAAAAATGCTGATGGGCCAAGTTAATGTGAATGAATGATGATAAATGCGCAATGTTTTTCTTTTTTTTTTGTTTCGTAATTAATTTTTATTTCTTTTTTTTATTAATTTTTTTGTTGGGCCTAAATTGCCATTAACGTGGCGAAGGAAAGGGTAAAAAAAAAAAGAACTGGGTGAGGGTCATTTTTCTGCCAGTGGGTCAGTCAGCCAGTCAGTCAGGAAATCGGCCCAAATCAACAGGTGGCCCCCTGGCCTGGCTTCTGATTTATCGGCCAGCCTTCCGTAAAAATGCCATAAAGCCACCCTCCTGTCAATAAATTTTAATCTGAATGTCGGGAATATGTTTCTGGAATATTTTTTTCCATCCTCTCGGTTATCTTGATTATCCTTTTATCTCTTTATATCCTTGGGAGCCGCCCCACTCTCTGTCCTAAAGGCTCTATTTTAAATTCCGAGGGTACTCCTTACATTTTCACAAACTTCTGGCCAAAGTTCTCTTTTGGAAGAAAACTTGCTAAAAATTACCAAAAATGTAAATATGATTTATTTTACATTAGACGTCATTATAGCTACTAGTTTTGAGCCAGAAGCCCAGAGCCCAGAGCCCAGAGCCCAGGTGAGTGTGACAGAGTTGAGGAAACACGTCGCGAGGCGTTCCAGGCAATCTGAGTATCTGAGCGTGACGAATAATGATTTTGCACACCCGGCAGACACCGACTTCTTTCGTCACCAAAACTCACAACTTGGCAAGATTTGCATATAGTTGAGCTTATTGAGTTTGGAGCTGGAGCTGGAGATGGAGCTACTTGAGGACTAATTTCATTTAACTGCAGGAAGACTTTCTGAAAGACTTTTATGAGATTTTCTTTTTGCCTTTTTTTATTTTCAGTGTAAATATGCAGTGGCAGTTAGAAAATTACCAAGAAAGTTGGGTGAAAGAATATGCCACGCTATCGCAGAGTTATGGCACTTTTTTTTTTTTGTCCAAAAGTTACCTCCAACTTTCGGTCACACGTTCGCAATTTAAAACAAAAAACAAGAAAGCAAAGCTAACTTCGGGCGGAGCCGAAGTTTATATACCCTTGCAGTTAAAACCGGATATATATCGCAAACATCGGATATAGTTGGCCGATCCTTATGATTACATCATATTAAAACTAATTAACTAAAATAAAAAATCTAAAAAAAGTCCCAAGCTTCTATCTTCAAAAATACGAAAGTTGGTATTTCTACCAAGTACCATTTCCGATAGTTCAGTTATATGGCAGCTATAGGATATAGTCGGCCGATCCTAATGAAATTTGGTAAGTTGGATCAACAGGCCAAAAATATAATCTGTACCAAGTTTCAGCTTTCTATCTTCAAAAACACGAAAGTTGGGTCATTTCCGATCGTTCAGTTATATGGCAGCTATAAGATATAGTCGGCCGATCCTTATGAAATTTGGCATGTCGTAATTGTTTGCCAAAAATAGCTCTCGTGTCAAATTTGAACTCTCTAACTCTAAAAACACCAAAGTTATACCATTTCCGATCAATCAGTTATATGGCAGCTATAGGATATAGTCGGCCGATCCCGGCCGTTCCGACTTATATACTGCGTGCAAAGGAAAGAAGGGTGTGTGCAAAGTTTCAAGACGATAGCTTCAAAACTGAGAGACTAGTTCGCGTAGAAACGGACAGACAGACAGACAGACGGACAGACGGACAGACGGACAGACGGACATGCTCATATCAACTCAGGAGGTGATCCTGATCAAGAATATATATACTTTATAGGGTCGGAGATGTCTCCTTCACTGCGTTGCACACTTTTGGACAAAATTATAATACCCTCTGCAAGGGTATAATAATTAAAGAGAAAACTTGGTAATGCATTTCTGGGATATATGTACCTTCTTTTTTTTTTTTGAAGAACTATAGGTGTCAAGTTAGAATCCCATTTTTACTAAATAAAGTTCGGGAGTTCGGGGGGAGAGGGAGACATTTAATCTTTGGAACGGAATGTGAAGAGTGAAAAGTTCATATAATATGGCCACTTGGGCAGCCGTCGTCGTGTCGCACTTTTGGGCCACTTGTTTCTCGAAATTGAAAACCATGAGGCGCATTTAAAAAGATGAAGTGACAACTGGCATACTGATGACGACACAAGGAAGGAAAGGGAACGATGGTTGGGATGGTTGGGTAGATGGGATGGCTGGCTAGCCGGGTAGCTGGGGGTATCTGGGATGGTTGAGTGTGTCTGGGAGGTGGGGCGGTAAGTGTATGTGTGTGTGTGCCAAGCGTATAAATATAACAAGTGCCAAGTGAAATATGTACATAAATAAGCCAGCATAGGAGACATGTGAGAAAGATGCAGATACACTGGTCGTTGGACTTTTACGAAAATATAATATTAAATATTAAAAATAAATAAAATAAACTAAACTAGTTAACAAAGGCTGTTTCTGTCTCTGGTATTTTTAATTAATATTTAAATGAGTAAATAATAAAAAATAAAAAGTAAATAGAGGAGAACCAGACTTGTTTACTTTTTAATTATGAATGAAAATTAAATTTTTGTGGAAAACATAAACAAGTAATGGAATTTCTACTGAAATTCAATGGTGTTTGGATGCTCTTTCTACCACTAATTGTTGCTGGCAGAGTATCGAAGGCAGTGGGTGGGTGGTTGCGTGCGACACGCCCAGCTAAAAGGGAGGGAGGGGAGGAGGTTGAAGGACTTGTTCGCGCGGTGACTGCAAAAAGTGCAACAAACTTTGACAAAATAAAATGAAATCCTAGCCCAGAGGCAAGGTGGTGGGGAGGGGACAAGAGTAGAAGGTCCTTGGATGAGAGGGGGTGGTGGGAGGTGGCGAACAAATGAAGCGCCCCGCGACTGCAATTTCAAATCGCAAACTCACACACATGGACAAGGAAACACAGCTGGAGACTCTCAAGCTAACAAAAAAAAAAAAAAAAAATGACAGGCACTGAGAGAAAAGAAAATATATTTCAATATTAATATATTTAATTAAAGTAAACTTAGTCTAGGCTTTAATTATATAGCCCTAGAAGTTGAATTTAATAACTTTTAGAAAAGACCACTTATTTTTTTTGCAGTGCACACCAACACATGCAAGGGAAAAGAGCGCGAGCGAGGAAACTGCATTGAAATTGAAGCACTCTCATTATGCGGCCGCCTGCAGAAGGAGGCAGGCAGGCAGCACCAGCAGCAGCAGTGCCACTGTGTGGGGCAGTGGCAGAAGAAGACCAGAAAGCAGAAGATGCAGCCCGAAGAAGCCGAAAAGGGCAACGGGCGACGGGTGACGGACGTGGTGGGACGACCAACAAACAAAAACAAAACCGCAGAAAACTTTTCGATGACGTAGCCAAAAGTTACAAAATAAAAAAAATAAAAAATAAAAAAGAATGAAATAATCACACACTCACACAAACACCAACACACACATTTCAATTTTACAGATAAGAATTTTTTTTTATTTTATTTATTTTTGGGGGGCCAGCAATTTTTGGGAATTCGATTTTCGGGGGCAAGTTAAGAAGAAGAATTAAGCGGCATATTTACTTGGCTTTACGTGGCGATGCGCGGTCTTTTTTTTTTTTCGTTATTCATTAATCATTGCTATCAGAGTGGCGAGCAACAACTACAACTACCGTTTACTGCTGCGGCTCCTTGCTACTCTCTCTCTCTTTGCTTAGAGACCGTCGATGTTGTTGTTTTTGTTGTTGTTTCTGGTAATTGATGGTATGTTGCCCCTTGTGCCCCCTTTGCTGTTGGCCAATTGTAGTTGTTGTTATTATTGTTATTTGCACTTGTTGTATTTTTGTTCACACAGCACACAAACAAACAAGAGACACTCGACAAGACCGCTGCTACGACGATACGACGTTACGTCCTCATCCACGCGTCTTTCACTTTGCTTTCTGCGAAGAGTCGTAAACAACTGACGGCGGGGCAGTGTGGCCAGATGACAAAAGAGACATCAGGGCCAAACGCCTTTTGCACTAGACACGAAAATATACTAAAAAATACCACATCCTTAATAAAATAATATAAAAAATATTATTTAAACAAGAGAGAACACCAAAAAAAATAGTTAATCATTTGCTTTAAATTTTATATATTTTAATTGTTTTTTTTTTTTGTATTTGTTTGATTTAGGTATTTCAGACAACTTATTTGCGTTTACCAACACAGGTTATTTCAAATACTATTTCGGGTATTTGGCGCGAAAAGTGTTGCCTGAAATTGTCATATTCCAGTTCTAGTCCAGTGACTCCATTGGCTCCGGATGTTCCATCTCCGCAGCATCGTCCATCTCCGGAAAGTCACCAACCTCCACAGCTTCGTCCACCTCCGGAGCGAGCATCTGCGGACCATCCATCTCAGTTTCTGACCATTCGGGATCGGAGTTGCTTTTAAAACCTTCATCTTCATCTTCAGCATCGCTCTCGCTACTTGCTACCGGATCGTTAACGGGTGGTACCGGATCGGGCAGGAGCCATGGTGGGATCCCTTGCAAATTTCCATTCAACTCCCGATCAGGATTGTTATACCTATTCATCATGAATGCGTTGAACCTTCTACTAGCGGCTACTTCGTCATCCTCGCTGTCCGACGAACTTGATGAGCTAAGTCCAGTTCCTACATGGCAAATCTTCAATCTCTTGTATCGAGGGCGACACATGCTTATTTCGATTTTCTTGAAATTTATTTATTTATTTTTTTTTTTAATTAGTTTATAATAGCTTTTTTTGTTTTTTTATTTATTTAGATTTTTTTTTTTATTTATTCAGAAATGTTTTTTTCTTTTTTAATTTATTTAGAAATATTTTTATTTTTTTCCTTTTATTTATTCAAAAATGTTTTTCTTATTTTTCTTTATTTAGAAATATTTTTCTTTTTTGTTAATCGAAAAATAATTATTTTTTTTGGAGAGCTATTATTTACGATGCGACTGAGCTTGTGGGATTCCAATCGCAGAATGAAATAAAGGCTACAAAAATCATAGCACGGGCTATGCATTTTTGAATTCTTAGCCTACTATTTTAAAATATATATTTTCTAAATAGTATCTGTGTTGGTTAACGGATGATTGGTCTGGAAACAGTATGACCAGGTATGGCCAATCAGCTGTTTCTTTGCTTAGCGTAATCATTTTAGTGGGAATTTTTAAACATTGTATTTAAACTAAATGGTTATCGGAGGTTTTATACCTCTTTGTTAAATAAATATTACTAAAATATTATAAGGAACTTGTTGCCCATCAACATAATACAAATATACTTAGGAATTAATGTATATCTCAGTTAGAATGACCTTTTATAGTTTTTGAAATGAGGCGGGCTTTATTTTTTATGGAGTTTATTTTTAGGTTTATGTTTTTTATATTTTATTTTAAAAAGAAACTATAACTAAAGTTGGGAAAGCTCTTCTGATGTCCTTACAATATACACAAATGTGAAGCCATCTGGTGTGTTTTTGGGGAAACTTTCCCCCTCACCTAGATGGAGCAATCGCTTGTTCTTTAAAGTTCCGCCTAGAGGGAGCATGGCTCCATTGATGAACTTTGAATATTTTTCCAATCAAAGGATGGAGAAAATATTAATTAAATATATATTATTTAAATTCCTGTTTTGGAAGATTTATTGATGTCTTATTGGCACTTTAGATGGGTCATCGGTATTTATTAATCAAAATATCACAGAGATTTTGACGATTATCCTTACAGAGGACCATGGATCATCCTATCGAGGTCAACTGGAAGAGCGGAAAGGTCCTGAGATGAAGAAAATTCATCGAAGGATATGCCAGAGAGGCTGAAGCAACACTAATTACACAACATACGTGTCAAGTCAAACAAACTATCAATAAAGAATAAAATAATATTAAAAGTGTAATTTACAAAGTCTTCCAACTCTATTTTCTTATATCTTTTGGACCCTTTTTCAAGATCCTCCACTGTATTTTCCTATACCCTTTGGATCCTTCTTCAATCCAAAGGCAAAGCCTCAAGACTTGAGTCACCAAAGGTTGGGTTTCGGGTCTTCGGCCCTCTTGGGGATCCCGTATCTGGGCCATAAGTATTTCTGATAAGCCCTATCGTCTAAAATACATGGAGCGGGAACATGAAAAGTCCATTATAACGCCCTCCGTCTCAGTCAGAAGCCAAAGTTGCTGAAGAACAGACGCAAAAATGACAGGTATGAGGGTCAGCGAGAATAGAAAGTGAAATTAGAGGGAATACCTAATGATTCCTAATTGTAAACAGACCACAGATGGATGCACTACAGCCATGGCAGCGTGCCGCCCAATGCCATTGTGGCTGGACACGATTCCGATGGTGATACCATCTATGTGGGCCGCGCCTTCTTCCACAACGATATGCTGCCGGCAAAGGTCATCCCCAACAAGGGCAAGGCCTACGTGGCCTACGCCAGGGAGGAGCACGAGCTGGAGAACTACGAGGTGCTGTCCGGCCACAACTACGATTGGCTGCCGGCGGAGAATGGAGAAGTGCCGGCGGGAGCTGTCAAGATTGGCCAGAATGTGGACGGAGAGTGGCTGTATGCCGGACGGGGCTACCATGCCGGCAGCTTGACCGTCGGAAAGGTGCATCCCTCCCACGGATGCCTCTACATTCCCTACGACTCCGACGAGGTGAAGATCTTCGCCTACGAGGTGCTCAGCCAGCCGGAGCGCTGGATCGACACCACGGCCACGGAGATTCCGGACGGCGCCCTGGTGGCCGGTCACGATTCCAACGGTGACACCATCTATGTGGGCCGTGTCTTCCGGCACGGTGACTTTCTGCCCGCCAAGGTGGTTCCAGCCAAGGGCAAGGCCTATGCCGCCTACGGCCAGCAGGAGCACGAGCTCACGGACGTTGCCGTTCTGGCCGGATCCGGCTTCCGTTGGGTGCCAGCCTCGCATGGCAACGTAGTGCCCGGAGCCCTGTCCTCCGGTCCTAGCTCTGATGGCGAGCCCCTCTATGTGGGCAGAGCTATCTACTGCGACAGTCTGAGCGTGGGCAAGATCCATCCCTCCCACGGCTGCATCTACATCCCCTTCGGTGGCGAGGAAGTGCGTCTCGAGCACTACGAGGTTCTAGTTCGCATCTAAGTCATCATTACTATTTTTTTTTTCTTTTTTTTTTTTTTAATAAATTTAAAAATTTAATTCCATTTTTAAGACACAAGCTGTAATCTTTTTATGAATGTCAAGCTACTTGAAGAAATTCCCCCCCAATCGATGACCAATCTTATATTTTTGGACTTGTTCGAGGGCCTCCCCCACATATCGCTGTTTTTCGAACGGATGTAGGGCCATGGTGAGGGTGCTGTTCTTTGTCGCTATCGGCTCCGGTTATCAACTTGTCGATTTGGGGCCATAAATTGCCGTCTACTTATAGCATAATTAACAGGTCTGGCCAGGGCCGAGCACTCGGCATTTGCACTCGCGTACTGACTGCAAAAAGCCACTCCACCCCGGACGGGCCGTAAACCCAAATCAGATATCAATGGCCAGATAAAGAAAAGAAAAGAAAGCCCCAATCGAAGAAACAATTTCATTCAAAGTTTAATCATGAATGCCTTTCTGGCCAATTTGTGGCTAGAAGCCTCTACTAGGCTACTTCTCTTAAGATAGAAATACTCCAAGGTTTCTCCCAAAAATACTCTAATCTTTAGCTTTTCTTCGTGTCCTTATTTATTAAATGTTTCTTCATGTCAACTTATTGTGGTGGTTACATTTGCTCTCCCCGATCTCTGTCAATAGCCTCCTCCTGGATGTCGTTCCCGCTTCGATCGTGGTTCCCACTCCATGAACCGGACTCCAGTCCAGAGCTTTCCCTTCCTGAAGGATCAAAGGATTCGCAATGTTGTTTTGACGGCAATTATGGTGTAATTTTGTTTTTATTTTTTATAAAAAGACTACAATTTTATATTGATTTGGAGTCGATAAGAGTCGAAAATGGAATGAGCTCGTTAGAACATTTTCTTTAGGAATTGAAATTCCCCGCCTACCCCGCCAAGGATTCCTTTGATTTGGAAACGTAGGGATTATAACACATGTTTTCTTAACCTCTCTCTGGATCCTTTATTTGGTCTCAAATTCCTTTCCATCGAATTCCAGTTCCCTTCCTTTTTTCTTCTGTGATTTTTCCCGCCATTGTTTTTCGCAACAATTTCCCTTCTTTCTTCTGTGAAACTTCATTAAAAAAACAACTTTGTTTCGGCGAGTGGTTGCGTAAAACTCTGTTGTTGTTTGTCCTTTCATCCATTTTCCAACTATTCGAATGGGAGGGGATAAGCACTGTGGGGAGCACTGGTCAGCAGCGAGTGCAGGTGAAATTGGGGGAAATTACTGTGCAATGTTTGCACCTGTACTTTCGGGCTGGAATGCCGGGGATTTTAAGCTTTGAACGGACTTTTCAGAAAAGTCCTGTTGCAGTTTTTGTTTTGACCCCCTCTTGCCACACCAACCAATTACTTCAAATAATAAACTCATCTTTATCCAGTTTCTTTTTGAGAAAAATGTATAAAAAATATAAAAAATATACCGCAGATGCACATCAATAGAGAATTCATCCACAAATCGTTTAAGGTATTCCGTTTAGGAATCGGATGGGTATTGCCCGAGATATGGCCTTCGCAGTGGGCCATATAGTGGTTTCGGTGGATTTCTCCACTTTTCCCAGGGGGGCTCCCCAGAAAAATTGACAAAAAATGTAAAAAATATTTTGTGATGAGGTTTTCATGCAGATCGGTGGAGAATCGGTCCACAAATCGTTTAAGGTATTCCGCGTAAGAATCTGATAGGTATTGGCCGAGATATAGCCTTCGCCATGGGCCATATAGACTTTTTCAAGGAGCTCCCCAGAAAAATTGACAAAAAATCGAAAAAATATTTTGTGATCAGGTTTTGATGCAGATTGATAGAGAATCGATCCACAAATCGTTTAAGGTATTCCGTTTATGAATCGGATGGGTATTGCCCGAGATATAGCCTTCGGCATGGGCCATATTGTCCATCCCATGGAATTCTGCGATTTTCGAGAGGGTCTCCCTTTCTTGGCCAAGTTAGTACCTTGTCGTGTTAGAAAAGCATTCTCCTCAGTGCACTTTCCGCTTGTGAACCAGTTGGGGAAGCGGTTTTCGTTTTGGCCACACAATGGGACAGTTTTGAAGGGTAAGCCGAAAAGAGGTGCAAGGCAAGTGGGTGTAGCCTGAGGGCGTGGCCCCAACACACATGCCCATAGTTGCCGATGGTTCTGTCTAGTCGCCACACGGTGGATGCAACCATCGACCGACAGCCGTCCGTCGCCGGTCACTCACGTGGGTCTGCGGTTGCGACGAGTCTGAGGTTGGATTAGGGGAGTGGAGGGCGGAGGCTCGGTTTAGGCTGAGGTTAGGTTTCGGGTTGGGTTCCAGTTGGGCTAGGATGGGCTTGGTTTGTAGCTTGTTGGCTTGGTTTAGCTCTCGGCAGGATGCACTTGTTCCCGTATATCAGCTAATGGCTAATACACGGCAATAATAATGGACTTCTATGATAGTCTGGACTTGGTCTGGACCTTAAACCGTTTAAGGACAAGGAAGTTAATGTCCTTTTTCTTAAAAAAAAAAAACAAGTGTTCCCCAAAGCAACTCCCCAGGAAATAGTCTTCAAAACCCAAGCAATAAATCACAGCTTATGTTTAGTTTTTTCTACACTCCTCCCTTTTTTTTCTGTGTAGTTCTGAGCCAAAGGTCGAGCCACCGCCACCGCCTCCGCTTCTGCCCAGACCAAACACAACAACTGGCCAAAAGCAAACCGAATGTGGAACATTCTGGCGATTTAATGATGCGTAGTGCCAGTGCACTTAAAGATGCTCCAGCTTAAAGCCCCTCCGCCAGGGGCAGGCAAGGGGTGCGTGGCAGGGGGCACGGTGGGGTACTTAATGGCAGTCATCTGGTAATACGTAATTAGGGGCGGGGCCTGGTGCAGCCAGAGCTTAAAGTCTCATCAACGAGTCCGGCAATTTCAATTGTTGCTCCGGACTCTTTTTGCAATTGGCATAACCAATGAGGCGGCGGTTAGTGGGGTGGGATTTGGGGGGGTTACCAGAACGAGCTCTTGTGGACGAGGGAGCTCTAAATGGGGTACCCCCAAAGGGCTACAATGATGATGGGGGGGATTGCAGAGTCAAGAGTTCGGAAACGGCACTGTGTCCCGGGCCCATTTATGATTTGTGAAAAAGTTTCGTGTGCACAGAGGAATGTGGTTTCATTACCGGCCACGCCCCCACATCCCTCCTACCTCTTCAACTAACCAAAAGTCCCTTTATCCTTTCCGCCTCTGCCCCCTACCCAAACAACTTGCATTTACCAGCAGGGGGGAGGAGTGAATTTAGTAGCAGGAAGTGGTTGCAGGTTGGGTTTTGAAGGGTCTGGGAATCCGAAGCAGAATCTGAATCTGGAGAACTAATCGCTAAACACAACAACTTTAAGTATTAAAGTATTCCCTTTACGAAATGAATTATTTTCAAGGAATTATCAGGCATTCAAAATGAATCAGGATGGAATGTTATGGCCATTTGGAAATATTCACCAATCTGACACACAAAGGGGCAACTTTTAATTATATATTGCCCCGCTGGCTTTTGTGTTCGAGGTTCCTTTCTGTTCATTGCTGGATTTTGCGGCCATATCCTGGCAGTTTTCATTTCCCGGCTCCGGCACTGGCTCCGGCTCATTGCGAAACTTCTCAGCTTCTCAACTTGAAAGGGAAGTTACTGACGGACAAGAGAAGACAGCGAAAGTAACAGCCACAAAAAATAAAAAAAGGATTTTCCTTAAAAAATATTTAAAATATTCTAGATCTCTTAAATAAATTCTATATCTTCTTTTCTAAATAAATATATAATACTATAGTTTAAGGACCCATTTCTCTCTGTGTAGGAATATGGCATTTTACAACTTGATTTCCATTTGGACGTAGAGCTCTTTGTTTGTTTGCTCCACTCACTCCTTTGGGTGAAAGAGAGACTCAACTGGTGGTCACACTCAGTCTCCTCCTCCTTCTTATTCAAGGACCTTGTAATTACATCTTGGTGGATATCCTTCGAAAGGAGATGCCTTCAATTCAGTGTGAGATTTATTTCGGCTACCAGTTGAATGGGTTAAGACCCACACCCACTCGGGCTTGTAAAACCTTTAACACCATCTATGGCAATAAAAGACAACTTTATAGTCGGCACCCCCCCCCCCCATGAATATATTTGTCTTCATAGAACAACAACAAGAACCAGAAGAACTTTTCATCCCCAAGGAGCAATCGCATGAAATGTGTTCCATTGTTGTTTATTTCTTTCTCAACTAGTTTGTAGTTGTTTCGTAAAAAAAAAAAAAGTTTTTACATTAAAAAAAAGATTAATATTATAATGGGAAATGAAAGCGGGAATGGGAGCATATGGGACTCAACCGATTCGAGCGTTGATGGTCCTTCGAGCTAAGACTTGATGGTCCTTCGAGACAGACTTAAAGCTGACCACTCAGCTAATCATCGAAATCGGAGGTGGGTGGCGTATCCTTCACATCGGCACGCACAGTGTAGTCCTTATCGTTCACATTATAGTAGATGGTGAAGTACCTTCCGCCCTGAATCCTCATCGAATAGTAACCCTCCTGGCTGAGATCCTTGCCGGTTCGCTGATAGATCACCTGTCCGGTGCTCAGGATGATACGAACCTCCTGCGAGCCATCCACGTTCTTGCGGGCATTTTGTCGCACAATCTGCACCAGCTGGGATCTCAAAGGATTCGTGGTGGGCTTGAGACCCGGCAACTGGATGAGCGGCTCACAGCGGCAGGATAGCTTCTGGGTGAGGGGACAACTTCCCTGGGCGCCCTGCGAGTTTCCCGGAAGCTGGACGGGAGCTGCCACCACTGGAGTCACGGCGCCCAGACCGAGATTGCCCAGATTGAGGCCACCGAGGGTGCCGAATCCTCCATTCAAGGATCCCAGTCCCAGGCCACTGATCAGGTTGGGCAGACTACCCACCAGGGTCCCGATAATGGGCAGGTTCTGGCCGAACGAGGGCACCCAGCTGGAACCGGGCTGCTGCTGTCCGCTCTGGGCATTCGAATTGGAGGCCACCGGAGTCACCACGGTGATGGGCTGGAGAGGCTGCAGCTGCTGGAGTGGCGGTAGAGGTTGCAGGGGCTGCAATGGTTGCAGAGGCTGAAGGGGCTGTTGCACGTTCAGTCCGTCGAAGAAAATGGGAAAGTTGCCACCAGCTCCGGCCACGTTTGCTTGTCCCACAGTGGAAGTCTACCAACAAAAAATGGAGTCTATTGAGCTCTACTCTTGCCACCATCCTAGTTCTTTCTTACCAACTGGCGTTTGTCCCGTTTGTCAGTACTCTTCATATCCGTCTCCGGGTCAGAGGTCATGGTGGTCCTCTGGGTGGTTTTCGTGGGTGTTGGCATTGTGGTTGTGGGACTCGCAGTCCAGCCCACGGCTACCACGGCCATGAAAACGAGGCATAACAAATTCATTTTTCTAGCCATTTGTAATCGGATTTCTTAAAAAAAAAAAAAATAGAAAGGACTTGTACTCCTGCTGGTTCTTCAGCTGTTTGTGATTTGATATCGAAACGAAGTCAGACAGTTCTTATATATGATTTCCAGACACTTGATAATATTCATTTTTGGTTATTTTGGGCTTTTTTATGCTTTGGCTTGCAATTAATGAAACCTGCTTGCCCACGAGTCGTAATTGTTTCAAATAAAGGACTTTAAACTGGACACCATTAAGAGAAGTGGGTCAGTTTTTATGAAAGAACCTCATAAACATTTTACTTGGGTGTTTATGATTAAGATTCTTACAAGAATGAAGCTAAAAGATTTTAGTTTCTTCAGCTACAATTAGGATTGTTTCCTTAAAGTCGCCTTTTTTTATACCAATATGTATGCAGATCTTGAATAATTTTGACAAATTGCCAGGGGCTTGGCCATGTCCAGTGGCAAAAATCAAATCAAATTAAATTTGTGCCAAAAAAAAAAAAAGTGAATGAAAAGAAACAGGAAGATGGAAAATACAAAAAAAAAAGTTTCGTTTACATGGAAATTTGTGGATGAGATTTTCAATTTTCTTGAAGAACGAAAAGGAGACGGAGAAGAGAACAAGTTGTTTGACAGCCGCTTGCTGTTGTGGACTCATAAATCAAAAAACTTTTTTGACAAATTACACATTAAAGACCCCGGCTGGGTGTGTGTTTTCTATATATTTCACTTGCAGCGATTTTAGATTAAAAATATAAATCAGATTATAAATAAACGCAACGGCGACTAAACGATACAAATACTTAACCGGTTTTTGGTTTAAAGACTCGAGACTAAAGAACTTTTATGACACTGACTGGAGAAGAGAAGAATCATCTGAAGATAATTGAAGAAAGTGGAACAAATTAAAGAAATGACAGCAAAACAGAGCTTTTGTGTCATCAACAGCAGGAGGTAGCTGCAGTTTGTTGTCATCCTTTTGACCTTTTTAGAAAAACTCTCAATAAATGATTAAAACAAGAGACTAGAAAATGAAAGACTGTCCAAAGAAAACAAAGCATGTTTCCATTTAATTAAGTCTCTCTGTTATTCTTAAGATCTTAAAATCGTAATTTAAAGTTCAGGTTCTTAAAACTAAACCAATGAACTTCGATCACCTTTCACTCAGAATTACGACGGCAGACAAATTCCAAAACAAACTCGCTCGCACCCACCCAGCCACATCGAAAGCAGCCCCATAAACATGCACAAGGTAATTCGCACCTGCACACACTGGAACCAAACCGAACCGACACCCAGGCATCCATATACCCAGGCACCCGCACCCAGGCAGCATTGCCCAGACACTCTCACAGGATCACCCACACAATGATGCTATTTTAAAGGCTTCAACAGGCCTGCCACCTGAGCTCATACTTATTTATTTTCCAATTTCATCATCTTTTAGTATTATAAATGCATTTTAACCCTTAGGTGGGTCAAGGGGTATATATATTATCATTAAAATTTATAATTTAAAATATTAAGTGTTAGAGGAATTTATTCTTAGGGTTTAACTCAAGAATTTCCTATCTATCTTTCTATTTCCATACATATTGTAAGAAAGTTTAACTTAAAAGTCGTGCTTCTTGCCGTACATTATGAGGCAGCTCCATTTATATATTAATAGCAAAGCTTGACCTTCAAAAATCTACAAAAAGAAAGAACCATATACATAATATTGTACAATATTATCATATTATCAATATTTTTGTTTGCTTTTTTTTGCCCTGACCCACACCGAAGGGTTAAAAGCCCTTTTTAAGGCCCCATGCCTGCAACATGGCCTTCCTCCCGAGTCCCTCCCTAAAATTTAACCGTTCTCATTTGTTCGTCAGTGCATAACGGTATTATAACAATGCCAATACAATATATACTATATGCATATGAGTATGTATCGTGTATATATATGTTTTGTTGTTGGATGTCTAAAGTGCTGATTAAATCCGAGCCGCAGCAGCAGCATCAGCAGCATCAGCAGCAGCGCCAGCCAGATGCATCTCAGCCCCGGAGTTGAAGTGGAAATTGTCGATTGGTATAAATACGAGTCTGAGCCTTTTGGCAGCGACCAAAAGTCAAAGAAAGACGCCTCCAGTCATGTCGTCAAACAGAATCCGGCCGGAATATGCACTTCTGCTGCTGTTGGGGCTGCTGGCGACGCTAATCCCGTTGCAGCTGGCGGCACCAGTTACGACGGATTCTGATCCGGATACGAGCTTGGATTCGAATTGGGATCCGGCGGACACCACCATAAGCCCGTATACCGAGGATTCAACCACCGTTTCTCAAGCTGAAACTGAAGTGGATGGCCAACGCATCGACTGCAAATTGACTTTCGATGCGGCGACAATGGAGTCGTTAGGCTGCCACAATAAAGCTGTGGTGCCCTCAGCGTCAGTGGGGGCGGAATTGGGACCGGCACCGGGACCGGATAGTGCGGCTAATAAGCCAGAGGATATTGCACAGGATCCAGAGGTCCTGCCATTGCAAATGCAACGCCACTTGAAAAGACCCGATAGTCAGCCCATCTATGAATTACAATTGGTTGTTTGGCCCAGTGACATTGAGGACGGTGATGACTTTAGTCCGCCACTTGCCACCACCACTACCACCACCACCAGCACTAGTAGCACTACAAAAGCACCAACAACAACAACTACTGGCAGCACAACCACCACAATTGGGACACCTATTGAGCAAATATGGCCATTGTATGAGGATCAATTGGTCGTATTCCCGCAAATGGACTTTGAAGAGGAGAATCTTGATTATTTCTTCGACGATGTGGGACCATCCAGCACCACCACACCACCACCGCCCACCACTCCCAGCTCTACCACATGGCATCCCACTGGCACGCCCACACCAACACCCATTTATGTTGTGCAAAATTATCACGTCATCCATCCCAATGGCACTGAGGAGTACAAGTAAGTACTAGGAGGTTCGGGGTCACCTTTACATAATCGGGGTCACCATTGTTATAACACTTTCCTCCTTTATTCCAGACTGGTAATGAGCAATGGTCTTGTAAACTATAAGAAGATCTACACGAAAACAGTCGGTGACCAGGTGGTTAATGTCCAGGAGGGCTACAACTCTGTGCCGATTCCCGGCCCCAGAAATCAAATCCAAACCCAATACTTCATTGCCGATGAGCGTGGCTATAATGTCTATAGAAGTGAGTCCTGACGCCCTGACCATCTTGGGTTGCCACCGAAACTCATAATCTATTCTATTTTCTTCCATCATAGTTGAAGTCAGCCCCCGGCAGTCGGGATTGCCCAAAAATTTGCATTACAAAGCCACAAAAACGACCTAAATGTGAGTGAAGTTGGCCAGGATTTTCAAACTGACTGACACAGTGTCCTGATTCGAATCATATTTTTTTTTTCCCCTCTTTTTTTTCTATTTATATTATTTGATATAGAGCTTAATAAATATTTCAGAAAAACGCTACCGTTTTTTGTTTACTTAAGGGGTGGAATAAATTTCAACTAAAATTGAGTATGAATTTACAAAAATAAAATGCACTTTGGATATTAAATTCCTGGTTATAATTAAATTAAAAGTTATTTTAACAATTCGTGTGAATAAAAACAGCCGGGATATATGAGAAGGCATCAATTAAAGCGAGATGGTTGGTTATTTTTGGAAGCTGCCTTTAATTATGTTATATATCAGAAGTGTGTTTTTATTTTCAAAATAAAGTTGGCTTATAGAAAAACTAAATTAAACTATTAAAGTTTAAATAGATAAGAAATTATCAATAACCTCAAAAATATCGTTAATAAATTCAGAATTATTCTTAAGATTATTTTATATTTTTTTTCAAGTGTCTTTGAACCTCAGACCTAACTGTAGCATACTTTTTGGCGTGCAGGAAGGCCTTTAATATCTTTATATATTTTTTTAAAACAAATTCAAGCTTGTTTTAACAATAAGTACCACTGTTACCTTAGACTGCCGCAAACAAATAGTAAAATAAAATGTAATGCCCTCAAAATGATTTGCTGTATTTTGTTGTTTGTTTTTCGCTCCTGTATGTTATTCCATATAGAGATGTATATATATATTTTCCTGTTTCCCCCGATCCTTCTGAATGTCAGTATATCTTTTTGTGTGTGTTTTTGTTTTTGTTTTGGTTTGAGCTTTGGCTCTCTACTTATTTTCCATTGTAGTGATTCGAATTCTATTTGCTGTGGATTTCTCAATCGCAACGCCACTGATTGCCATCTTTGGTGGCTCTGGTTGGCTCTAGCTGGGCTGTCATAGACGTAGCCCCCCGAGGGCTGCTGAAGGGGGTTATAAGGATGATGCTGATGATGCCATTTAGATGCATATCAAAGTATTTCACTTTTGGCCAATCTTTTGCCATTTTTGCATATGTATTTATTTATTTATTTATTTGGTTTTTCAGCCTTTTTGCTGATGCGACTGCTGCGACTTGCTAGCTTTGGCTGCTGCTGCTGCTGCTTTTGGCCTTGTTGTTTCTTTCAATTGTAGTTTATGGCTTTCCTGGCCCCTGGCCCCCAGCCCCCAGCCCCATTGTTTGTTGTTGTTTATGCCTTTCAAACTTTTCTTGGTCCTTGGTCCTTGCTGTTGCTTGGGCCAGGCGTCAGCCTGTTGGCAGCTGTGCAAAGTTTTTTGGGTCCTGGCTTATGATTATTTAAAGTCTTGTTCGACCCTCTTTTATGTGTGTTTCGCCCCGAAATCCAAAATCATTCTCACCGAATGTGTATTTAAAACCAATGATTTTCCCCATGCCCTTCAAGTATGGTATTGTGTTGTCTTCTTGGCTTTTTCAGCAAAGGGTTGGCAATTAAATTCATCACAAAGTTTCCATTTTTATGATTTTCTTTGTACTTCTTGCCTCATTGGATGTAAATCGAGAAACTCCTTCCAAGCTATTAGTAGTATTAACCCATTTGAGGTATTGAATTTTTAAATATTTTTAGGGCCATTTAACATCCAAGTAAATCTTGCTATTACCTCTTAGAAAAACTTAATATATGTTTACTTTTATGCCAAGAATATTCTCTGTAAGCCTGGGCCAAAAAGTTCTCTAGTGCAAAAGGCAAATGGAGATATAAACAGTTTCCGGGTGTGTCGCTTTAGTGCGGGCATCAATGGGTTAAAAGTCCCGAGGGCAATCCCCAGCCCAGGACCTTATTCTCCTTCTGTACTGTGCTGTGCTTCCTGGTTGCTCGTCCTGTTTCTGCTACTGCAGAATCCTGGCTCCTGGTTTCAGGTCGTATATCCGTTCCGTGTCGTCCTCGTCGTCTTGGTCGTTCGTCGTTCGTTTTACAGCCTTTGTAATTATCACTTTAATGAACTTTGCTAGTTTGATAGCGAACCTTCTCGCCAAAGGTATCCTTCCCCGACAATGGGGCCAATGAGAGGCAGAACTACGTGCACAACTGACTTTCTCTACTTTTCCCCATCGCATTGTGTGCCTTTGGTTTTTATTAAGGAATAAAATTAGTGAGCGCGTGCCGGGAACGCCAAAAATGCCAGTTGCAGGTCGTCCTTCGTCCTTCGTGCTTCCTTTTTTTTGGGTTACACTGCCAGACTTACAGCGGAAGCAGCGGCGAAAGACTGAGACACAAAAATAAACAACACCTACAAAATAAAACAAACTTTCTCAAAAGGCACAAAAAATAAAACAAGACTATACATAATCAGGATTATTATTTTGAGAAGATTTCCCCGAAAGAATATCCTGAAGAAAATTCTCACTGCACTCGGGGCAGAATGTATTTAAGTTGAGGCTGCAACACAGGCCCAAAGTAATGCGAAACGAATGTGCGCCAAAATAATGCAAGATAAATGCGCCAATTTTCAGTAAAAAAAAAAATAATAAAAAATTGGCCCTAAGGAGGAAATGTTTTGGATAAGTGGGTATAAAAAGGGTAAACAAGGGAGATGTTTATACACAGAGAAAAAATCTTAAAAGAGCTAGTAATATCAGGGAAGCTGCCACATAATGTACGGCTTGTATTATATTGATAGAACTTCCATTAAAAAAAAATAATTTCTTTTCAATAATTAAGTATTTATTTATTAAGTTTGTAAAGCCCTGCTTTGGGTATTAAATATACGATTATCATTATAATATAAGCTGCCGCATAGTGTACGGCTTATTGATAGAACTTCGTTAAAAAAAAACCATAATTTCTCTTCAATAATTAAGGGGGGACATCTGAGTAGAATTTTGAAAAAATCGAAATTTTTTTTTTTCGCTTAAAAAATTCTTTAGGGACTTAAAAATGACATATCAAAAGATAGAGTCCGGCAAAAGTGTCTAAGTGTCGAAATTTTTCATTCTGCGGCGATGCCTCACAGGTATATCCCACAGTACTTAAAACTTTAAACGCGTTTTTCTCGAAACCACTTTTTTTGAGTTGGCCGAACACCTAACCTAAAATTTTGACAGTATACTCAGAATACCTATGTCTATCGACACACGTAGGATTTTTTTTTTATTTTGCTTACTTTTTTTTTTATCAACAATTTTGTGACGTTTTTTGTTAGTGAAAATTGAAAATTTTGTTCAATCACTTGCCATTTTGGAAAAAATCAATATATCGAAAAAATCCTACGTGTGTCGATAGCCGTTGAGATAAAGAAACTAACCAAACTTGATTTTTTGTTCTAGATCAAAAAATAAGGACGTTAGGTGTTCGGCCATGGACCCCCTTTAAAAAAATAGGGCCTACGAATAAGGGCTGCAGGGCCGCCATATTGTTTTCGATTTATTAAAAAAAAATTTTATTGTGTAGTTTAAATATAATATAATAAAACCCCATTTACAAATTTTCGATTAGATGTTTTTATTTGGCCAAAAAAAATTCGAGAAAAACCGTTTTTTTTTGGCCTGTTACTCAGATGTCCCCCCTTAAGGGGGGAAATACAATTAAAAATTTATTTTTTTCAAAAAATTTTTTTTTGTCCTAATGTACTCTAAATATGTCTAGGAATAAGCCTTTAAAAGCATAAAGCCGTCCGGTACTTATTTTCCAAGTAATACGCAATTTAGTGAGTGCGTGTCAGTGGTAAACTTTAGTGAGTGGTAAACTTTAAACGCTTCTACTGAAAAGTCGTGTTTTCAAAGTCGCCGTGCAATGTACAGGTCAGAGATTTCATTTTAATCGAATGCGGTTTTTTGCTTTATATTTGAAATTAAATTCTCCACAACATGAATGAAAGGATTTTTCATATTTATTTGTTATAACATGTTTTTTTGACGAACAAAGTCAAAAAAAGTGTGTTTTTTTTAAACATTTTTTTCAGTTTCAAATTTTTTCATGGAAAAACCCTTTTTTTTACATATGAAATAATTCATGTTGTGCGCTGTACCTCTAAGTTTAATGCCCAGTTGTTGTTTTTTGTTTTAGACGTGATCCTGGGCCTGGAGACTGCACGGCGCAAAGTTTATCCCCCAAAACACGACTCTACATTATTGATCATAAATGGGCTTAATTACAATATTTTTCGTAAAACTTGACTGATTTTCATTGCCCAATAATTTCCTAATAACATGCAAAAAGAATCGCTAAGATTCATTCAATTCCCTACTTGCAATCCACTCCCAAAGATAGGCCTCATTTTAGGTCTTTTAATTGTATTTCCCCCCTTAAGTATTTATTTGTTTATAATACCCTGGATTATCCTGTACGCCCTCTAGGGAAAAATGAATAAAAGAAATAATTAACGCAAGATTACACCTTAAATCAACCAAAAAGGACCAAAGGGCAAATGTGAAAAATTTAATCTTAAAAAAAAAAGGCTAGTGGTTAAGCAACTGAAACTGAAAATGAAAATTGTGTGCACGTGAAATGGTGAGAAAAAAAAAAAATACAATTCGAAATGTGGGAAAGTGGTCCTGCAACTGCTACGGCTCCCGGTCCTGCTCCTGCTCCAGGTCCTGCTTCGGCTTTCTGGCCTCGTCCTTGTCGTGGTTTATTTTTTAAAACGCAACGGCAATTAATCATAAAAACAGATTTTAACACGAGCTGACTTTATTTTCGAATATATATATATAGTCGTGTATATATGTATATGGGCTTCTTGGTGGCAACTCGAACCCATAAAATATGCAAAATATCTTGTAATGTGTTTATCAAAGTGTGTGCGTATGGGCATTGGTGTATCTGTGTGAATGAAACATGGATCGGGCAATGTTCTGTGGGCTCAGTTTTCTGTTTCGGACGACGATGGCCAGCAAAAATAAATTCATTGAATTAACAAATAGCTTCATGTTCATTTTTGTGCCAAAAGGAGAACAAAAGCGAAAAGAAATATCCTTACTTTTTCAGTTCGTGGATTTTCAGGATTTTGTTTCATGTCACTGGTACTATTTTTTTTTTTGTTCAGGAGAGTCCACAGACCTGCCACAGATTATGTGGCAAGCGACTAACCCGGAAACACTCCTAGTGGATTTTCGTTAAATATTTAAATTTTTAACATAAAAACTATGCATGTTTTTGTGGCTGTGGCTGGTAACTCCACACTCCACACTAATTGTTGGCAACTGAATTTTAAAATTACTTGAAACTTGATTGTATAACCCGACTCTTAAGTTCTCTGAAATATGTATGAGATACTGTTGGAGGTCTGGAATATTTATAAGAAAAGCTAGTTAGTGCCCTAGGGTGTTAATTGTTTACTTTAGAGTTTAATAATATACTTGATTTTCTGGAGTTATTTTAAAGGGAATTTGCTCAACTATAAGACTATCATAACCCCAAGGGGATAACCCTCCTCTTCTGGAATCGATAATACTCCAGCATGGGTTGGCAAATGAGCGGATTGAATTTAAAATGTAAATGGCCAGGACGAGTTTCACACGCAATGCCTGCTGACGAATTAAATCCAGTGAAATTGGTTAATTCCGCCATGAAGTTGGTTGAAAAAAAAAAAAAAATTACATAAAATTACAAATGCAGACAGCCAGGCCCAGGCCCAGAGGAGGTGAACAGAAAAAAGTTCATGGTATAATTTGCGGCATACACGCTAAAATAATGAATTTCCGCTTGCATAAACAAAGGATGTGGCAAGAAAAGGCTGCTGCCACGGGGGGGTCACTTAGTTAGTTAGGAGAGATTCTTGGGGGACAACTTGGGCCTGGCAATTTCATTAGAGGTGCTGGCATGCAAAATGCCAACAAAATGCAAAAAAATAGAAGAGAATTTTCATGGTGTAATGCAATTGCCTGGCACTTGGTAACCTTACATACCAGGTACTTGCAGTTTAAAAGGGGTCTATTGGGTTCTTGAATCTTATAATACCTATATAGTTTTGAGGTCTAGCCTCTTTGGAAGAACTATATGATCTTAGAAAGGTATGAGACTAACTAAAGTGCAAGTTCAGGGTATCATATCGTTTATAAACTTTCATTTCAGGGCTTGGACATCTTATTCAAGAATGTCTCGCTTCCAGAAATATTATTTTTGATTAGATTCCTTTTATTCTTATGGCCAGTGTCCTGGCCAGGTCATATTTTCATTTTTAATGAACCTTTTTCTGGTTCATTTGACGCTGCGACTAAACCAGCCCTATGATAATTTCGTTTCCTCGTTTTTTTTTTTGTTTAGCAATGTAGTTGTTGTGCCTTGTGATGGTTAACTGGCAGGACGCAGGACACAGAGTGTCCTTTTGGTGTTTGCCGGATCTCGGCTGCCTTTTGCTGTGGTCGCTGATGAACTGCACACATTGCCCTTTCCATTACATTACGTTTCCTGCCATCCCACCTTTTAACTTCCGCCTCCACCTCCAGCGGCAAACAACAGCCATGTCCTTTTAGCACATCCTGCCCATACACCTGACCATCTGACCACCCAGGAGGGTGCTATCATTCTGGGTGTGTGTGTGTATGTGTGTCCACGTCGCTAAACGCGACTTTCGCTGCTTAAAAGCCATTTTTGCATTTTATATTTAATTTTTTTTCCGTCCACCCACCGTTGGTCATCCTTTTTATCCTTTCAGTGCCTTGCTAACTGTTGGTCCTTTCGCCAAGGTAGTCTTCTATTTTCCCTTTGGTATATTATTATTTTAATATATATATATTTTTTTTTAAATTGGTAATTATTGAACATTCTTCTTCTTAAATATTCGATTTAATATTTTATTTCTTTGATGAGCTTTTGGATGTAATGGTTGTGTGTTTTTTTCAGAGTATTTCTCGCCCTGCCCTGACCAAGTTAATCCTTCGTCCTTGCTCATTTCAGTTTCCAGATTTTTTTTGGTGTCTCTCCACCTCTGTTTGTTCTTTATCCTTTGGCTTTGGTTTACATTTTTTGTGACGCTGTGTGTATTTTTTTCGGTTGTTTGTTGCCTGTTACCGCAGCATGCAAACATTTTGGAAACGCCAGCCGTTTCCTGGAACGGCAGGACGACTCAAAGGACGCGGCCGGGGGCCTCGTGTCCTAGTTAAACTTTTGCCTGCTTTGTCACATTTGCAATATTTATTGCCTTTTGATTATATTTCCAAGCGGTTATACAAAACAGCATCGCTTGTGTGTATATACTTTCGTGGCATTTAAGATTTTGGTTCGTTTTTTGCGGGTGATGCGATTTTAATGGAAATACAAAAGGGGTTTGGCATTGACATTGAGTTGACGGGTCCTAAAGGTCCTTTTTTTTTTTGTTCATCGCCAACTCTTTAATCGAGTCAAAGTTGGCTCCCTTCCGGCTTCCTATTTTCTTCAGCTCTTTAATAAGCGTCAAAGTTAACAAAGTTGCATCAGTGTTGGGCTTAACTTTTTCCTTGTACTTTTTCCCTTATTTTCCATTACATTGCCCAGAATCAGGATCCAGGGTCTCTCCCCAATCTCTCTGGTTGCTTATTCCTCAGCATTCTGATTGTAAAGTTTCATTGATAATTTTAACGACTACTCCCCTCCTTGCCATGAAGATGTAGGATGTGAGTTCGAGTCCGACTTTGGATTGTGGCATTTTTTTTTTTTCGACGAGGATAACAATTGCAAGTTCGTGTTGAACTGCAAAGTCGCTTTAAGTACTTCTAAAAGTTGCCCGAGTCCTGGTATGAGAAATCACAGCTGAACGGGAAGGTATTCACTAATCGGAGTTCATTCTGGGAATTAAAATACTTTTGTTGTTTCATTTTATTGCTTTGCGAGTGCCTGCGAGTGCCTTTTCCTCATCTTATGCAATATTTGGGTTAATCAGATTTGAAATCAATTCCATTTTTATTTGCAACACAAATCATACTTTATTTGTGTCGAGGGACTGCAATTAACAGTCCCCGAAACCGATCGCAATCGGATATCAAGATGATTTTTTATGGCCTTTTATGTTTTATGACTTAATAGTCGGGTCGGTCCTCAAAAAAAAAAAAACGAAACCAAAAAAAGGATTCCCAGTTGAATTAATTCTGCAAGTCAGTCGCCGTTCAATGGAACGATGAACTCGTTTCGCCACCCCTCAAGGTATGGTATCCTGTCGGCACTTAATAAATTTATGATGAACCTTCACACACTCTTGACTTGAAAATTTGGAATTCAATTCCATTTCGCACCATTCCAGACCATTACATATTCTTTAAGCACTGAGAGAAATATTTTTCAATACAGAAATAGGTATTTAGAGATATCTATAGATCATAAGAAAGTCTTATAGGTCTTTATTATAAAATAAAATACTTTTTATATATTTGTTGTGAGTAATTCAATATTTTATTGTTTTTAAATATTATTACAAGTTCTTAACTTTAGTTTTTATTACCAGAAAGTCTTAATATTTTATAATAAATCATTTAACTTGATTCTTTGTCAGTACCTGGTCAGTATCTCTCATTTTTGGAGCTGTAGTCCGTTTGGTTTGGTTTCGTTTTCGTTTCTTAATTGCCTTTGGCCAGAGAACCTCGCCAAAAATGTGTTAAAAATGCAAAAATATGGCCAGATATTCAATGTACATACATACATACATACGTATGTATGTATATTTTTTTATACCATCACTTTGGCGAGGGGGTTGCCCTGCACTTGTATGTTTTATTGCCCGAATCGCTTTGCGGTAAATTTATTACCAAATTGTCGGCGACTTTCGAAAAATTCGCGAAATCTTCTCAGCCAGTGGGCAGTGGGTTTTAAAAGGCGTGGGGAGGCGTGGCAGGGGTCCCTGCCTACCATTTATATATATATAAGTAAGTATCTGGGGGAAACATCTTAAATAATAAATTCATAATTTTCGCTGCTTTGCTTTAATAAATTTTTATTATTTTTTAATTCCATTTCATTGAACACAAAAATAAAAAAAAAACATCGTCGATAAAAAATTAAATTCGTAATAATATGAGTAGTTGAGACTAAAATGAATAATAAAAAAAAAAATGAGGCAGATGATGCAGAAGGAGCAATAATAATAATAATGAGGATGGTGTGCAATTATTCGGCTTCAGTTTTCAGCTTCAGTAGCGGCCCTTGCCCCTCGTCCCCGCCCCGGACGCAGCCCCAACCCCAGCCCCCCGGGGTGTTGTCGTTCCCAGTTTCGTGGTGGTATCCTCCGACCGGGATTGGGAGGAGTCGACAGTGGCCATGGGCACTTCGATGGAGCGAGGCAGGTTGGGGTACACCTGTGGTGTGATCGCTGCGGGCGGACAGGGAACAAACAAAAAAAGTCATGGTTAACATGGGTTAAAAAATACAACCAGTAACAAGCAACGGGTTAAGGTTAGCCCCCGACCCCCAACAGGTCCGAGGTGTTTCAAGCTGTCTTATTAATTGATAATTAATTGGAGGAGAGCCCTCGAGATTAAGGAACTATAATTGCCAATTAAATTAATTATCTAATTACACTTTTAATTAATTTTAATTTAATTCCTAGCGATAGATACTTACACTGATTCTGCCGATAACCAAACTGATCAGCATTATAGAACACGGTTATGAACCTTCCGTCCGTCATCCGATAGGAGTAGTATCCGACCACCATCAGGGTCTTCACATCGTCGATCTTCACAAAATATCCCCGCTCGTACCGGGACGTTCCATCGTCCAGCTCGAATCGATATTCGTAACTTCCGTCCGGATATCGGTTATCAAAACGATCCAGTAATCGTACGCCGCTTTTGGGCGTCGCCTCGGGTTCCCTTTCCTTGCGGATCTGCTGGGCGGAAGTGAGGGCGCCGGAAGTCAGGCAGAGAATGGCGGCGAGCAGGACGAGCGAACCGGAAGTGGCCATTTTGAATTGTGAGTGTGTTGTGGTCGCGTGATGTTTTGTTAAGAGTTTAATTCGGAAACTGTGTAACTTTGGCTTTTTATAGTCCAGGGATCGGGAGCAGCGGCCGAGGCAGAGGCAGCGGCAGCGACGCCAGCTTGCAGGCCTGACTGAGGCGACCGCGACTGAGAAGCGAGCGCGATCTTCAGGCCAAGCTGGATATATCCGCCAAAGGACGGGGGGTTAGGTCGGGTATACACTGGAAAATATTTAGTACTAATACTCCAGGAATTTGTTAGAAAGAGCTAACGATATTGATCGAAAGGGGCTTTTAGATATCGAAAATAAATCGAAGAATATTTTTATAATTTTTTTTATAAATAATAATTTTAATTTTTATAAATTTCTTAAAAACACTAGAAAAAAAAAATATCAACAAAAAGGTATATATTTTTTTTTAAGAATATAACATATTTTATAACATTTATTAATTTTTTTAATTAAAACTTTTATTAATTTTATCAACCATTTCTCTCAGTGCACCACTGGCTGAGCCATTGCCGTCAAAAATTCTCAATGCTTAATCATACAAAAAAAAATCTTAATTTCATCTACTTACACACATGCTTACCCCTCTCTGGATGTGTGTGAGAGTAAGAAGAAGAAACCGGCAAGAGTGGGGTGGGGTGGAAGGGGGCGTGACCGGGGCTGGACAGGTTGCTAACTGGGCAATTTGGTTGCGCCTCTTTTGTGTGTTTGCTTTTAACCCTGTTCGCACGGCCGCCAAATTGGTAGGATTTTGTGGGAGTGGGAAGGGGGTTGAGACGTGCACTGGTGGGTGGTGGTCTAAAGGGGAGTTTATAAGAGGGGAAGGGGCTTTTCAGGCCCCATCAAAGTTTTGGAAACTGATACACCAGACATAATCGATTTGCCGCCAATTGATGGATCGACTGATGAGGACTACAAGTGCCTACCAATTAAGCTTAAAAGCCACTGGCTGTTAATTGGCCTTTAAACTAAATCTTAATTTTAGTTAAAAGCTTAATTTATGTATTAAATATTAAAGAGTAACTAGGCCTAGAAATATTCCCAACTAACTCCATAATTCATCCAAAGTTTCTCTTGTTTTAAGACCACTGTTAATGGCCAGTAGCTAAAAATACAACAATTCTCGCACCCTACAATTTGGAGCGGCCAGTACGTGCCGCCTGTCATCGGTCTCCCGGGCGTGGCAGATGCAACATGGACGTTGGTCGGATCGGCGGCCTTTCAAAAAGAGGCGGCGGTGGCGGGAGGCCAACGGAGGCGAGGCCAACGAGGCAAGCGTCCTGTGGCCAATTAGGGCTAATTTATGATTTCAATCATTTCTTAATTGCATTTAATGTGCAGCGATTTAGCAGCTAGATTGGAGATGGGAGCTCGGGGAGTACCAGGGGAGTAGTGTAACCTCGGGGGCTACTTGGTCAGTTGGCCAAAGTTAATGATGTGCAATTGAGCCAGTTTCCCTGGACAACAAAACTTATCCTCAGACACAGACAAAGTTGGGGAGTCTCTTAAATAAATAATAAATATCTCTCTTGAAGGATACTTGAAGGGGGACTTAAAGTTTGTTATAAGACATAAGCCCCCTTTGGAATATCTTACCACCACAACCCTGGTCTACTGACCACTGATCTGATCTGTCAATAAATCGACATGGCCTTATCGCCATTTAATTGATTTCCACACACCCCAAAGGTCACGCCGAACAAAAAATATTCATTTATGATTTTATGAATTTATGAAATTCTTGTCTTTCATCTGTTTTGGTTGGTTTTTTTTTCACGCCATAAAGTGCAGATTTATGGTCAAGTCACAGTGACAGGGAGTGTGACAATTGCAGTCGCATTCACTCAGTGACTCAGTAAAGCAGTCACTCTGTAAGTCACCCAGTCAGTCAGTCAGTCAGTTACCCAGTCAGTGAAAAAGACCGCTAAACTTGCCAACATGCCAACCAAAAACTGAAACAACAGTGCCACTTCCTTCAGTGCTGGCGTCAACATCCTGGCCCAAACTGATTTATTTATAAACGTATTTTATCTCTGCCTGTGACAAAGCATTCATTCCAGCACTCTGACAGTATGGCACTCTGGCTGTTTGGCATTTTGGCATTCTGGCCGGGCCAACAAAAGACAGTTTCAGCTTTCAGTTCCAGAAATTAAAATACAAAAGTGTACAAAAATGTTTGCCAAACTTGTTGCGCCACCAAAAAGCACTGAGAGAAATAATTAAGATATCAGATAGTTTGTTAAAATTGAAGTTAAAGATACTCAGTTAAGATACTAAAGTTAAAGATACTCCCAGCTTTGTAAGAAAGTAGGAAGATGGGAGGTCATTCTTACTAGAAGCTCTAAGATTTCTTTCTCTATAATCCCTCCTAATATTAACACCTAATATGTGGAGAGAGGGATTAATAAATCTTAACTAACTAAACGAATCTTTTTAAAAACCCCCTCCTTATTTTTTTATGGTTTTTTTTTAATCCAAAAAGGAGGCTGGGGGATCTCGGAAGGTATTCATTCATCAGCAAGGTCATTTGTTTTGTATGTCGATGACAAAGCTGGCGTATCAAAAAAAAAAGGAAGATGTTGGTGTTGTGCAGTCGTGACAGGAAGCGATTCCTGGTAGCATTGGTAGCTGCTCCTCCAGATCCAGCACCAGTCCCAGCTCCATCTCCAGCTCCTGCTGCTTTTTTTGTCTGGTACGCCGCCTCTGTCTGTGATGCTAAATGGTTGAGACAACAACGCTGTTTGTCATTACCGTGCGTTGGGTTATTTTTGGGCAGGTTGCACTTTTTGTTGTCCCCCCCCAACACACCCCTTCCCCACAAACAACAATAAGTGCAACAGCAGCAACCAGAATCAGAGCCAAGGAGCCAGCAGGAGGTGCCTCAGTTTGGCTTACTTTGTAGGTGTCAACGTTGGGACCCGGCCATTCTGTTGAGGACGTGCCTCAGCTTTCAGCACCTATCCAAACAGAGTTGTACAGTGGGATAAGATCTATAATTTTTAGTCAAAAAAAACTAAGAGCTTTATTAAGAGATGAGAAACAAAAATCCTAAAAAAAAAAAAACATAGGCCTTATCCTTATTTTAAAGACATTACTTTCGTAACCTACCTAATTCTACAACACTAATTCCACAGTACTTGGCTATAGACGGCGGCAATGAAATGCCCAAAAAAAAAAAAAACAATCCAAGAAGAAATCTCACGCACACAGCGCCAGATGCAGATACATTTAAAGATACAGATACAGATAGAGATACTACGGTTGTGGATGAAACCAGGCAGAAGTTGGGCTGAGTTGGATGGGGGGGTTTGGGCCAAGTTACACACAAATAATGTACAAAAGTGGCTTATAAAACAAAATTTGTATGAATGGTCCATGTAGCCGCTGCCTGCCTACGTGACATGACATCCCGAGATACAACTTGTTGTATAGCCCCGCCCCACCTTCTCGGTGTTCCTCCCTCGCAGTAGGATAGCCTACCTTTTGGTCTGAAAGCACTTTTGGCCACTTTTTTGCGGCTTTGAGACGAGACGACGACTGCCTGTTGCCGGCAGTAGGCACTCGGCAGAGTCGGCAGTGGAATAATTCCCATCAAATCACGTCCCTCTCTCTCTTGGTTTTTTTTCTTCTTTGCGGTACTCTTCAAAACTCAGATACAGATACAGATACAGATTTCTGTTTGCGGCTGCTGTTGCTTTTTCAGATTTTTTTTGTTTTTATTTTAGTTTATTTTTTGTTTTTTTTGTTGATTTTTATATATATGATATGCCTGCCGAGCATCTCAAAACAATTTGTAAGACTTTAGCAGAGTTTGTTTGGTGTCTTGCATAAATTATAAAATCCGCAAGCTGAGTGCCTATGCAGAAAAAACACAAAAAACAAAAATGTAAAATAAAGAAATGAATTCAAAAGATACAAAGATACAAGTAGGGAAGCTACTTTTGGGCCAAAAGAGGATGTTTAGATACTATAGCTACAAGAGCTAGAATGACTTGAAAGATGCCTTCTTATTACAACTCTTTGGTAGTATTTTGATTAAAAATCCCTACTACCTTATCTTGGGGCATCATAGATACATTTGTATCTCTGTATCTGTGCTGGCATAAATTTATTAAGCGGCTATTCCTAAGCCAGGGCCAATTTCACAATTCTCAATTACCGAAAATATGGCACAGACTATGAGGCTGCGGGCCCAAAGCGTTGCAAGTATGCAGGTTTTCTCTAATTTGTATCTTACGGATACCGATGCCGATGCGGACCTGCAGAACGAGATAGAAACAAAAACGAGCAAAGGACCAAACGAGAACACACAACTAATCCGAGTCAATAAAATTCTAACCATAAAAAGGGGAAGTCCTTATTGGACTTGGCTAACCCTGGTCCAAATTGCAGAGGTCTCCATTAAATCTACATTTTTGCGGACAGACTCCCCCCCCACAACTTTCTGTCCAAAGGGTGTATCTGTGTGTGGCTTAACATGTATGTATCTGTGTGTGTACGTGTGCATATTTCTGGTCACAAATGAAATTTACGCAGAGCCGCATTTATTAATCTCAAGATTAGATTGAGTCTGGTGTCTGATAAGCACAATTGCGAGACTTTATATGCAAAAGCATAAATATTATGAGTTAGTTTTGGGTGCGGTGGTAACTACAATAAGAGAAACTTTCTTTTTTAATTAAATATTTATATACAAAAAGGAGGAAGTATGACCCATGATACAGTAATTAGGGCATATCGTTATCCAGTGTTGGAAAGAGTAAAGTGATTTCACATACAAACTTGTAATTTTACTGTTTTAACCTTTACTGTGTTAAATTATATATTATTTAGTTATTTAATTGATTTAAATATATTTTTTAATTTAAAACTTATGCTGCAAGCTCAGTCGGGGAATTACATTTTTGAATAAAAGTGAAAATAAGCCATGTTTGGATATACTTTAGATTATAATGTAATTTACCCAAATTTATAAAAAAGAAAATGTATTGTATATTCCATATTTTCTGTCTTTTCTGAAAAATAATGTAAAATTTAGCAATAGAAAGTTTCTATTACAAACATATAGATAACCATCATAGACAACATTATCACTAAAGTCGGAATTACGCCTCAGCTACCGTTTAAGGGTGAACATCTTATTCGTTAGACAACACTGTTTTACTTAAAACCTGTCATCATCTTGTATCTTAAGTGACATGTTTTGGTATACTTTAGATTATAATAAAATCTACCAGAACTTATAAAAAAGAAACGTTTTTTAAATATTTCATATTTTCTTTCTTTGCTGACATACTTTCGAATTAAAAATAATTGGAGTTTAAGTTAGAGAAATGTATAGAGAACAATTAAAGGCAACACTGTGTTTTTATCAAAGGAGGTCAAATTAAACCATAGTTACCGTTTAAGGGTTAACAGCTTATTTGTTAGTCAACACTGTTTCACTCACAATCTGTCTTTTTTTTAACGGTATCATATTGTATCTTAAGTGTTATGACTTTAAGAAGCTATAGTACAAAATCTTGACTATTTTTGTCTGGCAATGCCCTTCTCTAGTATCCCTTCCACTCTGTAGCGATTCTCTAAGCCCTCTCCTCCCTAGTAAGTATGTGCCCAGTTTACTAAAAGCAACAAATTTTTGTTTTCCCCCCTCGAGTTTTTAGTTTTTGGAAGCGCTTTTGTTGCCACCATTTGATTTTTCGACATCTCCAGCCATGGTGCTCGGGACTTAACATTTTATTTGATTTCTTTACCGAGTGCTGGCATTGTGCTTTGAGGTTTTAGGTTTTAGGTTTGATAACCCCGATATAAATCTGGAAAATGCCGCAGTCACTCACACACGCATTTCACATCGTCTGGCAATGGTTTTTGGAGTTGGAGAGTCGGATGGAGGGATGGAGGGTCTTGGATAAATCGCACGTCCGAAAAAAAAGGGGCTGGCTGGTTGGATGGCTGGCTGACTGGGACTCTGAAGTTCAATGGCTTGGCATTCGCATTCAATTTGTGTGTGTCGGCACTTTGAATTTTTCATGCGACACGTCAATTATGGCCATTACTCAATTTACTTATTTATTTTCCTATTTATTTATTTACAATACGGTTGGCCCGGCTCGATTCATGGACATGGGTCCGGGTCCTGAGCTCCCCAGAGGATATACTTCCTTTTTTTTTTTATCTGCCGTTGGCTCGCTCATGAAGATAAATTAATTTGGGCAAATGGCCAAATGATAGGGGTCAGCCGTGTGAATATTTACATAGGTAATCAGGTTATCAGGGTTATCAGAGACAAGGGTCATCGATACAACACTCTATAAATAGATAGCTCCACAAGTGCTACTCCAAGTGCTGCTTTGGATGAGGACGAGAACAGCATTTGAATGAGAATGTTAAACATTTATTTGGGATGTGTAATCCATCATATATATATGTCGGCTCAAATGCTAATGTCCTGGCCTGGCAAATGAAAAGTGAATCCTCAGAAAAGTCCATTCAATGCAGCGGCTTTTGTGGAGCTTGGGCTCTTTGAAATAGGCCCAGGATATGGCTTTTAATAAACGAGAATAAAAGAAAGGGAGGGAGTCAAGGGCCAAAACAGAGCCTAGAATAGTAGTGCCCCCTTAAATATTATCAAGTATTTTTCATGATATATCCCGTCAGAAGCTTAAATCCATAAGTAGTTCAAAAGATGTCAACCCGATTCGGTTGGTAATCTTTTTACAAAAAAAAAAAAAAAAAAATTAAACCAAAAAACTACACATTCAACCCGTATTCGAGCGTGGATCCATTTGCACACTCAATTCATTCACACTCTCGGCCAGGTCCTGGTCCTGGTTCTGGTTCTGGTCCTGGTTGGGTCCTGCCATTCATTACATGGGCCTGGCTGACTCGTAAATACAAAAACGGCGCAGAAAGGGCAGCAGGAAAAGGAAAAGGAGGAGCGCCAACCAGCCAGCCAGCGAATCCCTGGCCCGCATTGGATTAGTAGCGAAATGAATAGCTGCAGTTATCCTGCCACAGAGCTCTCTTCCGATTTACAATGCACTTGAAAAAAAAAAAAATTTATAAATAAAATAGAATATTTTATACCAAAAACAAGCAATAATTTAGATTAAAAATATATAAATTTTAATGAAAAATAATTACCTCCACTATTTTCTTCAGTGTTTCCTGCATTTTATGACCATATGTGCATTGAGGGGGGTGGTGTGGGTGAATGGTTTTCACAGAAAGCGAAGGTAAGCAGCCAAGTCTTACAGCCGTACATGCTGCCAACACGGAAAAGTCGAAGGGAAAGCGGGAAATTGAAGGTGGAAGGTGGAAAATTGTAGAGCCCCCCAAGTCAGGCGATGGAGATGGAGAAGTTTTATGAATGCTCACCGATTTGCCGCCGACAAATCTCCTGGCATCGCCTCCTTTTCACCAAAAAAAAACCCTCACCAGACCACCCAATTTGGGGCGTTTTTACAGAAAAACCCATTTAAATTGGTACCAGAGCTCAGAGTCAGAGGCAGAGGCAGAGTCATAGCCAGAGCCTGAAAAAGGCTACCCACAAAAGACACTCGCCAGCTGGCAAATTGGGGCCTCGAATGTGTTTTTGTCAGACGCCTCATAATGTCTCATCTTTTGGCCATCAAATTGGGAACACACACATCTAGAGACTTGACACAGGGTCCTGGTCCTGGTCCTGGTCTTGGTCCGGGTCCTTGTGCCTCAATTGAAACTGGCTATGACACCTCTAAACTATTTCGAATTGCTTAAATGGACCTCCAGGATGATGGAGGAGGAGGAGGCTCCGAATGTGTGTCGGGGCATGATGTAATTATGGGGGTTAAATTGGAATTTTTTTTTTTTTAAATCCTTAAAAGTACTTAAATTGTAAGATTCCTGGGGATTTAATTGCTTAACTTTCATAATTAAAAATAGAAAAAAATAAAAATAATAACAAGGAACTATGCAACTCACCTGCCACTGTATCTTTCAGTTAACGGTACTTTGGTTACTGCCCCCGCACCCCGCTACACACACGACGCGATCGCGGAATCCGTCAGATCCACCGGCACTAATCTGAATCTACTTGACGAATTTACACTAAACACTACTAATCACAGCTGCTAAGATTTGATTTTTTAAAAGTCAACATATTTTCCAACATACATACATACATACATACTGCACATACATATGTAAATATGTTTCTTTAGGACGCCAAAAGACTCCCTATCCAAAAACACTCGCGAATACTCAATGCCCACTACTTTCTTTCACTTTTTTCGATTCCACATTATAGCACACACTATTAGCCATATATTTAATAAATCAATCAATCAAAAACCTCAATTAATTTAATAATAAACAATTAAAAACAAAACGACGCACGGATAATTGCAATGGCGGAACTTACGGACACGGAGAGAAAGCGTAAGGATGACAAGATCGGAGAGCGTGAGCGTGGTGGGAGAGCGCTGCCGATAGCCATCTATCGATAGGAATTATTTAGTATTAATAACTATCGATCTTTGGTATTTATGGCCAATAGGAAACTTTTTCAAATAAAATACTAAATAGTACCAAGTTTAAAAATTATTACTAAAGTTTTAAGATTTTTTTTTAAATTTCTTTATTAAATATTAAAAAAAAAAAAGTTGTATACTATATTTTAAAGATAAATGCATTTAGAAGGAGTGGGCATGGCTGGCAAAAAGGGGCACTGCCTTGGAAAATATGAAGCCTGTCAAGCGAGCAATAGAGATAGATGACGTTTAACTTGGGAGCTGACTTGGCCAGGTCGGACAGGATTGTTTCCAGGTCTATTACCATGAGTGTTGGGGGAAATGGCAACCGAAACGACAGGACAACTCAACTGTGTCCGACTGCTGACTGCAACAATTGTTTCCAATTCGATTTGCGGCAACTGGAGCGAGTTGGGAGTCAGCCAAGTGTGTGTGTGTGCATGTCCTCGATCCAAATCCCCCCCTCCCCTACTCCCCGGCTGCCTGCTACTCCGCCATGCCATATCCTGCTGTATCCTTTCATTTTGAGTCGCCTCCATCATCATCATCATCATCATCATCCTCAACCTCATAGACATCGTCATCTTCATCATCCTTCTCGGTTGCCGAAATGTCGTTGATGGCCAAAGTTGATGGCTCGGTTTCGGTTTCAGCCTGTGGGTAAAAGGAGTTGGTATTCCAGGATTAGATATGTATATGTACATATATATCCAGAGTATCCGTTGCAGTTGCCTAGTTCTAAATATTTGTCAGCTATTGATTTCATTCTGAAGAGTGACAGCCTTAAAGGGGTTATCAAAAATACTACTGACAGATATCGTAAAGTAGTTTGTCTTTAAAAGGATTATGTCATTGGAATCTACAGTTCTGAATAATCGGATATCTATAATTTAGATTACCATCCATATACTGTCCATTTTAAACCTCATAGAACGATGTAAAACCTTGAAAAAGTAAATCCCCATAGCCACTTACATATAGCTCAGTTGTGGAGACATAGCTTGTGTCCTTCTCCTCATTTGGATCCTCCTGCTCATCGACTTTCACATCCAGATCCTGATCGGTATGCTCCGGTTCGGGTATTGAAGTTTTCTTAGTTTCTGGATCCTTTTCGCGAGCAACTCCGGGAACTTCAAGGTTCCTTGGTAGCATCGGCTGTTCGGCGGATAAGGTATCTGTGTTTTTCGAAGAATTTCATTAAAATTTGTTTCAAATTCTGGAAAGATTTCGGGGGAAAACTCACGGGTATCCACATGGTAGCCACGATGATCGGCTGTGTAGAACACCGTCGAGTACTGGCTGTTGGGCAAGGGCACAGAGTAGTATCCTTTCTTGGCCAGGACGAGTTCCTTGCCCACGGGAAGCCAATAAGCCCGCTCGTAGCGAGTATTACCATTGTCCAGTTGGTATCTGGAAATGATGGAAATGACCTATCGAAGAAACTGCCTTTAGTAATTATCTAATTCTTACCTAAACTCGTACTGCCCGTCCAGAGATCGCTGATCAAAGCTATCTATAAGCCGAGGACTACTCTGTGGCTTGTAAACTACTTCCGGAAGGACCTGCGATGGTGGCTTCGGTGGCGCCAATAGTGGTGGCCAGTGATGGACGTGCTGATGGTGGCTGGTCTTCGGGGTGGTGCTGCCCCAGGGAATAGTGGTGCGTCGGGGTCGCTTCGTCCATCGTGAGTCCGAGCCAGGAGTCAGAGCCAACAGGGCCAGGACCAGCAGGATCAGTGGACCCACTCTGAGGCTCTGCTGCAAAGAATAGATGCTTCTCAACTGGAACATTCTGGTATTCGGTAATTGATTGTATGACTCTTCGGTGTGCATCGATGCCTTATATATACTCGATTCTGTATCGAAGACCACTCGACTGAAGCCTTGTTGGCTCTAAAGATGAAAAATGTCCAGTTGAGGTGGTGGAGGCGGGGAAGGAGCTGCCGCAAAAAAAAAAACAAAAGCCCAAAAGCCAGCCTACCAGATGATGATGGGAAAGGACGGGGCAACAGGCTGGCACTGAAGTTTGATAAACTTCTCTTTCCCTCACACGTCAATGGCAATGATTTGGCAATGCCTTTCGGTCTCACTCCCCCACCACTCACACACTCTCCACATTTCCCTTTCTTTCTTTCACTTCCTCCTCAGACAGGAAGATGCAGTTCTAGCGGTTTTCAAGCTAAATTATAGAATCTATAGGACCTTTAGATCGGGAAGGTCTACTAGTTATATAGACTAGCCCAGGGATAGTATAGCCTAGCTGTATACCGATTTTAAGACTTTTAGAATATCTATTTCTATATAACTCTTAACTAAATATAGAAAGTTTATAAGATATATGAAGGATTTCGACAGTAATAGTTGTAGCTCTCTTCGTAGAATATTTATGATAGTCTAGCCTGGCTTTATATCACTTTTCAGACTTTTAGAATAAATATTTCTATATAATTCTTAACTTACTATAGAAAGCCTATAAGAAATATGATGGTTTTTGACAGTAATAGTTGTAGTTCTCTTCCTAGAAGCTTTATGATGGTCTAGGCTATTTCTATCCCAATTTTCAGACTTTTAGAATATCTATTTCTATATCCTACTCAAGTATATCTAATGACATGTGAAATATCTTAAGGTTCTGGATGGTAATAGTTGTAGTTCTCTTCCTAAAAGCTTTATGATGGTCTAACCTATTCCTATCCCAATTTTTAGACTCTAAGAAAGTCAATTTCAATACCTAACTCAAGTATGTCTAATACCCTGATAAATATCTTTAGGTTCCGGGCACTAATAGTTGTAGATCCCTTCATGGAAGCTTTATGATAGTCTAGCCTAGCTTTATACCTATTTTCAGACTTTCAGAATATCTATTTCTATATCTTCATTAACCATATGTGGCTGGTAATAAGCTTTAAGTCACTGGCATCTCTGATGCCGTCACCGCCCTCTAAGAATGCTTCTTTGTGGGTTTTGTGAGGCGTCACGGTGCTTTTGTGATTTTGACAGCATTTTCGGAGGCGGCGGCGGCGGCGGATTTGATCCTTGGGCCCTGAAAGCAGAGATGAGTGCAGGGTCGGGGGCGGGGTCGGGGGCTTGTTTACTCCGTTTGTTGGTTTGTTCGATTGTTTGTTTGTTGCGCCGACCGAGCCCCAAAGTGTGTCAGGCCCAGATGCATGGCGGCGGCCCAAAGGCAAAAAAGCCGACTCGGATTCGGATACGGATTCGGGTATCGACATGGTTCATTGACCAGGCCGCGTCATCCCACATCTCGCTATCGACTCGGCCCATCTTGGCCCATCTTCTTGGCCCTGTTTTTCCCCCCTCGGGCTTATATTCTTTCGCCTTCCCGCCCAAAAAACTGGCCATCGATTTTGCTGATTGCCGAGTAGGCGTCACCATCTGCCCCTAATTGTTTAACCCTTGTGTGTGTGTGATAAATGCCAGGACCTCATCTGACATTCATCACCCCCCCGGGGTTAAATATTTATGCTCCTCAATGGAATTGTTTGTCAAACTTTGATTTGACGGCGAAATCCATAGACTCTTTTGTGGAAACAAGTTATTCAGGGAGAATCATACAATATTAAAATATATAAAAATAAATAAGAAATAAATAAGAAGAATTGCTGTCACCGTGATGGATTACCAAGCCAATGGCATTATAATTGATAAATTAAATTAAATGAATTTGTTGATTAATTAATGATCGACCCAGTGAGTGGAGTTCCTCGCAAGAATCGTGATTGATCGCCGCCTCGCTGGGATCTGGTTTGCATTTCGCGAGTGGGTGTCAAGTGGCCACGTCACCCGGCGACGGGTTAACAAATTTCTGGTGAAGTCCAGGGCACTTAGGCAGATTAAATTCTCGAGTCCGTCAAACCGAATGCGTAATTAATAAATGCAAACATTTAGTCGGAATTTGGCGGCTGGCGGCGGCTTCGTGCTTTCGTGCCCAATATCGCACACTATTAAGGCCTTAAAGAGACGGACTAACGGACCTCACGATCTTATCGCATATTCATTCATTCGGGGTTTTAATGGTTGCGGTTTAAAATATTTGGCATGTAAATGCCAAGAGTTGGGGCCAGCAGCCTCATAAAAAGGAGTTTCGAATGGCCTGCAGCCGAATATTTCGCTTGTATGTTGTATGCGCATAACAAACTAATAAATATTTTCATCCATATGTAAGTATAAAATATTGTTTAGAGTCCCAAAAACCGTACCGAAAAATGGCAAACTCAGCGCCGGCCCCAGCGTGTGTTCTCGATATTTCATCTCTCTACCATTTTGACCATGTTTTTTTGGCCGGTACCGCCCCATCCACCCATCCAAATGGCCAGCAAAAATAAAAATACCACCCACTCTATCATCCCATAAGGATAGTAGTAGTAAGGCCATCCACCATCCACCCATCGTTGGCATTTTCAAGTGTCTAAGCCATGAATTTATATTGCTCGATTTCGATTTAAAAGTATTTCGGTTACATAATCTCGGCATTTTTATCACATTCCAGGACTGTTTGATGGTCGGTCCTTGGGCCGAGGAAACTTTCTCTGACAAGAGTATTGGTATGTATGTATGTCCATACATACTGACCCTCCAAAAATGTGTAGCCATCTAGCCCATCTTGTTGTGGTGTAAATTGCTCAATTATAGGCAAGTTTGTATCTCGGTATCTTAGTATCTCAGTATCTTAGTATCCCATGTATCTTGTGTATCTTTGTGTCTGTATCTCGGCGCATCTTGGTCGAAAGTTTTTGCGGATAAAGTTTCACTTTAAGTTGATTACTTCATGATTTTCAGTTGACCAAACCGCATTTTCCTCAGACTTGCCAGAGTCAGCAAAATACTAAAAAAAAATGCCAGCGGGAAATGGGAAATGTGCAAGTTTGTGTGGAAATGAGGAAAACAGAATTAGTTTCGAAAAGCGATCCAAAGCGAAGCAATTCGTATGCATTTCCTTTTAGTATCTTTTTTTGGTCATAACGTAAAGGTTTGAAAAAGAGTTGCATGAAATTTCCTTAAATGATTTAAATTGCAGAAAATCATCAAGGGTTTTGGTCCATGTTGTCTAGTTGAGTTTATTGGGTCACATTCTGGTCTAAATCATTCGAACAATCACGGAAACAGCAACAAAAATCACGATCAATTGTTAAAAGTTCAAAAACGTGAGCCAAATGAACCTGTTTTGTTTGGCTTTTTGTCACTCCCCCTCCACATTCTCTCTATTTATCTCTGTTTCTGTTTCATTTTTGACTATATAACCCAAAGGTTACCCCGCATATATAAGTATATATAGAGCTGTGTATGTATATATTTTTGGGACTTGTTTTTGGAGTTTTTGGCTATAAAGCCACGCGCAAGATATGCAAATAGACGCGACAATATGAACCACAATGAAATCTTGTTACTTTTTACGTTTCAAATGCAAAGAAGTCCCGCCAAATTGTAGCCTCTCCCCGGCAGTTTATCTTCGTTCTGGTCTCGCCGATTGTTGATTTAGGCAAATTCGTATTTAAGCCAGAGCCGGGAAAACTTTTGGAGACCCGCGGATCCATACAATATACGTATGTATATTCAGGATGCGGGCTACCCCTTTTTTTTTTTCGTCAACTTGGCCCAAACAATGTTCCCAGAATTTGCGTGTCCGTCTTGGGATAGTCACAAAATAACAACAATAGAAATAATAAACAAGACTACAGTTGGCTCTCTATAAGGGAAACAGGCAATGGTTCTCTATAATTATATATTTTCATTAAATTTAAGCTTATTTAAGATTTAAATCAGTCATAAAATATCAATATTTTGTCACTGTTTATTATTAGTGATCAGATATCGCTTCTTATCGGTTGGAAATATTAATATTAAATATCTAAGACCATTAAGACCTTCATGAATTCATGAGACCTTCAGAACGAATGTCACAGAAAGCGATGCCCAGGACCAGGACATGGATCACGACCAAGTTGGAAAGACCAAGGTTACACAAAATTGGATAGATCAGGATTATAAACCATCAGGAAAAATGGACAAAAAATCTAAAAAATATTTCGTCTCAGGATTTTGGTGCACAATGGTGGAGAATCAATCTAGAAATCGTTTAAGGTACTCAGCTTAAGAATCGGATAAGAATTGGAGAAGATATAGCCATCACAGTGGGCCCTACAGGGGAAAACCGCATTTTCAAGGGGTCCCATCAGGAAAAATGGATTAAAAATCTAAAAAAAATTTCGTCTCAAGATTTTGATGCACAATGGTGGAGAATCGATCTAGAAATCGTTTAAGGTACTCAGCTTAAGAATCGGATAAGAATTGGAGAAGATATAGCCATCACAGTGGGCCCTACAGGGGGAAACCGCATTTTCAAGGGGTCCCATCAGGAAAAATGGACAAAAAATCTAAAAAAAATTTCGTCTCAAGATTTTGATGCACAATGGTGGAGAATCGATCTAGAAATCGTTTAAGGTACTCAGCTTAAGAATCGGATAAGAATTGGAGAAGATATAGCCATCACAGTGGGCCCTATAGGGGAAAACCGCATTTTCAAGGGGTCCCATCAGGAAAAATGGACAAAAAATCTAAAAAAAATTTCGTCTCAAGATTTTGATGCACAATGGTGGAGAATCGATCTAGAAATCGTTTAAGGTACTCCGCTTAAGAATCGGATGAGAATTGGAGAAGATATAGCCATCACAGTGGGCCCTATAGGGGAAAACCCCATTTTCAAGGGGTCCCATCAGGAAAAATGGACAAAAAAACTTAAAAAATATTTTGTCTCAAGATTTTGATGCAGAATGGTGGAGAATCGATCTAGAAATCGTTTAAGGTACTCTGCTTAAGAATCGGATGAGAATTAGGGAAATTTACCAAAATCTGTCCATCAAAATTTTGATCAATTTTTCCATAATATCCTCAATTTTTTAAGGGGTAGGATCAGGATTTTTGACCCCATTTTTGTTGTACAGGTTTTGATTGGAAAAGATAGTCCTCACAAATATAAGATCAGAGAGGTATGACTCGGTTTGATGGAAATTAGCTGAGTTATGACTATTTAAAGTTAGAGTTATGTTCAAATATAAGGGGTTTAGCCTTTAAAGCTCTCTAAAGACTTATGTTTAGCTTTTTAATAATTCCATTTATATTTCAGCGCCTACCGGAGTCCTATCCAATTCACCTACGAGTCAATGCCATACAGATTGCGACTTAGAACCGTCCACGTTAGGCATGCCACCCTGTACCCGTTTCCGGGCGATGGCGACCAACCAGAAGAAGATATGGCGGGCGGGCGCTAAAACAAAAACAAAAGGAGCTTCATCAGCAACAACAATGACAGCTAACAAACAACCGTTAAGTGCCGCAACAAATCGCCAAAAATTGAAAACTGTGGGAATACCACAAGCCCCACCGGGGACGCCACAAAAGCCACACGAAGCCACACACACGTACACTGCTACAAATCTCGTTTTGAAACAAAAACAAAAAAAAAAGCACGAGAGAGAGATGGAGGAGAGTACTACCGCCGAAGCAAAATAAAAGACAATGAAAACAAATAAAAAGTATTTTGAAATGCCATTTGAATTAAACTTGAAACAGAGAGCTCGAGGAAACTGAAACAGTGTCACAAGCACTGAGCAAAAAGCAAAAAACCAAAAAAACCAAAAAAGCAGAAAGCAAAAGCATGGCCAGCATAAAGCAAACAAGGAAGTGATGACTGTACGGGTAAGCCCCGAGAACTCGCTTAAGCGATTGTTATGCTTCTTATGCGCTCAAGTTCTTTATGGTGTACGGTTTCCGGTTTTTTTTTTTTTGTATTTTTCTTATCCTTACCCCGGTGCTGATGGTGGTGTCCTACCCCCATTTTCTTTTTTTTGGGTATGTGCCCAACGGAATTTGGTCATAAAGAATGGTCCAAATACAGTTAAACTTTCATAATTTTCACTTCCGCGCCATAACGAATGAATTTAAGTTTTCTTTTCCTTGAAATGAAATAGATTACTTGCCGAGTCACGGTCGCCACATATGAATATACTTTATTTATCCACCTAACCGTGAATGTGATTCTTTAAATTATTATATTTTCATTAAACTTTATAAAATATTTACAAACGTGCACAAAAAAAATTATAAATTCATTCATTATAATTATATTTTGGAAGGATATCTTTAGATTTTTACAGATTTTGGTTTATTTTTCAGATTGTAGCTTGAAATTGGAAAGGTTACCTCTTTTTAAAGTCGCCTGCCAGCGAAGTTATTGAAGCAATCTACCTGAGGTCTTTCATCGCGTCGCACATTGGGGGCATTTCTCAGGAATTCCACTGTAATTTTATTAAATTCTTTAATTCAAATATTAATTCTTTGAAAATCTATAGAAATTCTACCTGGTAGTGGGTGGTAGCCCTCGGAGTCTGCTCGATAGCATCGCAGCTCGTATCTCAGTCCATGGGCCACATGACGGGGCTGGACGTAGAAGCCCTCAACCACCTGGCCGTGATGATCCTTGGGGAAATAGCCTCTTTCCCAGCGACGGACGCCATGAGGAAGTGCGTAACTTAATTGGTAGTTAAGGTATGTAGTAATCTATTGATATTAAATATATTTTTAAGAATACTTACCCAAAGATATAGCTGCCGTCTTCGTTGAGGTCGTAGAAGTTGTCCCGCCAGGCATTGTAGTCATCAAGCTCTGCCACAGGTTCTGGGTCCTGATCTTCATTGGGATCCACTGGGTCCACGGGCTGTGGTAGCTGCGGGTGCAAAGGTGCTTGAGGGGTTGGTGGTGCTGCTGGTTCCTCCTCGCTGGAATTTTCCTCCTCCGGAGACTCCTCTTCCTCCTCGCCGTTCTCGCCTTCCGCCTCCTCTGAGGAAGTGGTTTCACCCGAAAACTGAGCCCTGGCCGCCTCCCCGGAGGTAGGTGCCACAATCGCAGGCTGCCTCTGGGCCAGGTTTGAAAAAGGTGTGGTCGCCAGTGGGGCAAAGGCATTGGCCAACTGCTCGCCTAGTAACTGCTTCAGTTGCTCCCGCATCTCAGAACTATTCTCCTGGCTATTGCCATCGAATCTCTCGAAACTCTCGCCATCAAAGTTAGGGGTCTCGAGAACCCGCCGCGGAGGAGCTACCTGGGTGGCGGCCAGCAGGAACTGGGAGATTATCAGGAGGGGCAGTAGCAGCAGTGGAGACTGAGCAGATGGCATCTTGGTGGACAGGTGACGACTACAGCTTGCAGTCCCCCTCGATACAACTTATATATATCGCCACTCCATCGCATTCACACACAATCTAGCCACAAATCAGCAAATCGGTTAATCGCTAAATCGCCAAATCGGATCCGGCGAAGTGCATAAATCTCCGGGCAACAAAAGCGAGACGCACCAATTTGCATTTTGCACCACCCAGATACGGATTCTGTGGCTAGCATCTGTCAGATACAAGCCGCCAATGAAATTGTGGACTTTAAGATATCAGAATAAGTCTAAAGATGGGTTTAATTACTCGGTAAAGAGTTTTTGAAATTAAAAAAATTAATTAATGGTAAGCTTTAAGAATTATGAAAGATATATTGGAAGATATAGTCTTATTTGTCATCCTTTATAGGTATAGTGGCTTATAACTATAAAATAAAATAAACAAAAACCTTTAGGTATGTTATGTTAAGTACTTAAATCCTAAAAGTAAACCCATAAAAAATAATAAAAATCTCACTCATTTCTTTAGATTGGAGGACCATCATACCCCCGGCGACAGTCGTGATACCCTGGATTAATTATGCGAGTTGTGGTTGTGATGATGCGACGCCTCCGGGCGGCCAGCTCTGAATTGTGTGTTCCCATCTAATTGGGTCAACGTCATCCGATTCTGCTTCCGCGTTGGACTCTTCTTTCTGCTTTCAGACTGATCTCGCCAAGAGCATACTTTCAGGCATATTTCTTTAAACTTTATTACAAAAATTAAAGCAATAATAAATTAAGAGAATATGGCTAGCACATATAGTATATGGGTATGGTAGAGATACTTACCCTCTCATTTCATAAATAATACTCAAGTTATATTTTTCCACAAAATGAATTTTTATTTGATCGCAATTTAGTTTATTTTTTACACGCATTCAACACACACCAAAAAATATTCTGGCACACTCGCACATTACCATTCGGGTTAACACCAATTTCGACCTCTTATCGCTCCTGCCATGCCCATTATTTTAAATCTATTCTCTTCTCTTAATTCTTTTCAATTAGTTTTTAAGTATTTACTTTACTGGTTTCGAGTGTTAGTGAGTTGTGTGTACATTTTTTTTTTGTCGCTCGACAATTTACAATTACAATGCTTCCAGTCATTCCACATAGAAAAACAAAAAAAAATATTACATACGATTTTAAATGTTTCATTGTTGGGTTTCGCTTTTGTTCTCTCTGTAGTTCCTTTTGATACTTTTAGTATTTATGTATATGTTTTTATAAAAAAAAAAATATATCATACATTTAACTTAATCCTAGGCATAGCTTACTTATAGTACACATAGTTCTCTCAATAGATTCTTGATTCTATTTCTTTTTTTTTTTTGGTTTTTTTTAGTAAAATCGCTAAATTTCCTCTTAAATTGTAGCTAGAATAGGGGGCTTTGTGGGCTATAACAGAACAAAGTACTAAAAAAAAAAAATTAACAATCTCAAATGGTATATATATATATATATAAGTGTATAACTGTCGATAGAAAAAATCTAATTAAAAACACTATAGATGCGACCGAATGAGTCTAACCTTTTCTTAAGTTTTTATTTACAAGTTTGGTTGAAGAAAATAAAAGTGTCATTACATTTACGTTCGAGATGATGAGGGTGTGTCCGAGTCAGAGGTCCTGTCAGCTTGGACCTTAATCACTCTAATGATTTGAACTTTTGCGAAAAAGAAGATAGAGGAAATTGCAACGCTGCACCATCACCATCACCATCGCTATCATCATCATTATTTGTGCCCCGCTCGGCTGTCGCTGCTTTTTAAATTCAATCAATCAAATGGATTTGCCACCACCACTCCCACTCCCACTTACCACTTAGCCCATTTGCCGCCCCCTCGCTGTGCTCACTCATTGTCATTGTCATCTTTATTTTTGTGACGAAAAAAAACACCCCCTACCTCTTTGGCTTTTCTACACACGGACAGCTGTGGCAATATTTACACCATGGGAAGCACTCCAAAAAAACAAAAACTCCGTCCCAGAAACCCCCAAAAACCCCAAAAACCAAAACCAAACCAAAGGGAAACCGCATTACGGTGACATCGCTAATTGCGGACTCCAAAAGGACTCCGAAGGACTTTTTCATGGACATTTTCAGGTGCCCAAATCCACAAATCTGTGGTCAGCTAATTTATCTAATTGAAAAGGATTTGGATAGCAGATGAACTAAAAAGATTCCCTTACCAGCAAACGTCCTTTAACCCACTAAATGCCCACGAACTTTTGAAAAGTTTGTCAACTTCCGGGAAGGACCAGGAACCGGGAACCGGGAACCCTTTTCAAAATACAACTGACTTGACAAGTGTTCACACAGTTTATCAATTAAAGATTAAGAAATTATTAACTGGAAAGCAACCTAAGCGGCTAAGATGGGTTTAAAAGATTAATGGATAAATTATAATAAACTTGATAGTTTTTTTAAAGATTTTCTATCAAAATATTCTAATAAATTAGCTATAAAACCCTAGAAGCTATAGCTTCTAAAAAGTCATTCTATTTTTAATAGAAAAACTTTCATGAATTTTATTATTTTAGCAATTTCCTGTCATGAAAATCTCTAGCTAACTCTCTGGCTTTAGTGGGTTAAAAAAAAAAGTGGTAAGTCGTAGCTTTTGATGCCATCCCAGAACCAGAATTAATTTAATAAAAGTGTCTGGCGCATGGCTGGTGGGAAGCACATTTTGAAATCACTTAGAAAACTATTTTCACGCAAATTGCTAGAAATAAGCAAAGAAAAACGAGGAGAAAGGTGAAAGCAGAAATGGGGAAAAGGCTGGAGCGTAGAAAGGAGAAAGCAAAGTGGTGGACACAAGCACGTGCCCGTGATGAATGGACTTTGGTCGCGACATGGTCGTGGAAATGGACCACGTTCCTAATGCATGTAAATGAAGAAGTTCCTGTCCGAGCCCCAGCCCGAGCACTATTTTTCCAACTGTCTGAACATGAACGTTTCTTTTACTTTTCCTATTTTTTTTTTGGAAATTGTTACGGGTTACGGGTTACTGGATTACGGAAAACGGGTTATGGGCGTACGGAGTATGGCGGCTAAAAGGTACAGATGGAGTCCGATAACAATGTTCTGGGACATGTTGCTCATACGCCATGTTGTCAACAGGGTCTGGTCCGGTCTGCTTAGTGTCTGCCCGCCCACTGTCCTTTCTCATTCCTCCCTCCCCTCCCTTTTCCTAACAAACTCATCCGATTCCGTATCCGTATCCGTTTCTGTTTCTCTTGCATTGTTTTCAACCAGCAAAATGCCGCTGTCTCTGCAAATGTCCGGCAAATGTCGCCAGCAATTGCGGCCCGGCGGCAACAACTGGAACAGCAACTCCACTACGGACTACGACTACGGCTCTTCGGCATACGGCATACGGCAGTATGCCCCGGTCCGGTATATTGCAAAGGGGCTGGCCGGACACATCTTCCATTTGTCTAGACCAGAGCACCGGAGCTCTATTCTCGTTTTAAAGACTAGCTTGTAATTGTCTGCCATTTCTGAGCTATTTTTTTTTGGGGAAAAACGCGCTGGAACTTCTTAATTATTTTTGAAATTATTAAAGAATTCCATCGTAAAATAATAAAATTATTATTTAAATAATAATTAAGGAAGTACTTTTCTTATTTCAATATCTTTTAATTAAAAAACAAAAATATTCCTATAAACTAAACCAATCAATTGTAACTAATTTCTCTTGAAATATCCTTTAAAGGATGCTTCCAACAAAATGTTATAAATATTCAATAATCCTTAGAGAATTGAAAAAAAAGGATCTCTTCTACCAATAATATAAACGTAACAGTTTAAAACATCAACAAAATACCTGCATTGTTATTATTTTGTTATTGATTTGGCTGGGGAGTGAGGCTGGTAGGGGGGAGCTGGTTTTTGCCAACCGATAAGTGTGAAAATAAATTCCATATAATCGCGTTATAAACTTTGCGCCAGAATAGTTATGGCAAAAGTTTTAAAATTGTTTTAAACGAACCAGAAGTTTCAAAAGGATTCATTTCGTTAATTTCCTTGGCAAGTGCTCGGATGGCCATTTAAAGAGTGGCCTTTAAAAACAAGGCGTCGAATGGCCATAAAGGAAGTGCGAAACGAGTCCTGCAGGATGCAAAAAAACAGGATGCAGTTGGTCGGGTTGGATGGTCTGTGGGTGATTGGGGTGGTGGTGTACAAGTCCTTCCGGCCTCGACGCCCTCCTGGCTGATTGCAAAGCGTTTCCGTTGTTTCCTACCGGCGTCCTCCCTTGTGTCCTTCTTCGCGCCATTTCGTCCTTGTTGTGTCATCAGCGACGCTGCGGCTGCGGTTAATATGTTGGCCAATGTCCAGTTGTTGTTGCTCTTCCTGTTGTCCTTTCGGTTGCTCCTTTTTCTCCTGCCTCCTGACTTCCTTGTTGTTGTTGTTTTTTTTGCTGATTGGCGGGCAATCCTTAAATGTCAATGGGACGTCATGATAATCACGTCTGGTGCTGAATTCCGTATGTCGATGAACACTTTCGACTCCTCGTTCTTGGGCGCCTGATGTTGCTGCTGCTGTTGCTGCTGCAGCTGCTTGTTGCCGCCGCCGCCAGGCAGGATCGTTGTCTGTCCTGGAACGATTCCCACGCCATGTCCTTTCATCACCGGCAAGCGGGCGGCCACTGTCGGTGGATGTGGATGTACAGGATGAGCATGATGCATCCTTTGCTGCTGTTGCTGTTGTTGCTGTTGCTGCTGCTGATGCTGATGGTGGTGATGACAGATCTCCTGTGGCGGCTTCGCCGTTGAGGCCACCAACAATCCGCCATAGTGCGAACGTCCACTGTGCCGCTCCTCCAGCTCCAGGGACTCCTGGCGCGGCACAATCATCTGCTGTTGCTGCTGCTGCTGGGGATGTTGCATGCTGCGCCGTGTCAGCGTACCTCCGTGCCCTACGGCCGGCGACGGCTCATAGCCGAAGGTGGAGAAGAATCTCGGCGGTGGCGGCGGCATCATTGTCGCCACCACGCCCACTCCACTGCCACCGCCCAGGGACGAGGAGCTGGACTTTTGTCTCATTAAAGTGGCAACTCCGCCGCCAGGACCAGCAGCTACTAGTCCGCCTATAGCAACACCGCCCATTCCGGGTGGGGGTCCGGATCCGGGCGAGGGTCCGATTCCGGGACTGTTGACAAATAGCGATTCCCTGAGCGGCATAGAACGAAAAAAAAGGGTGCAAGTACCGAGTGAAAGGTTTTAATATTTGTCAGTTATACACACACGAGTACACTAAAAGAAGTACACTGGGAAAACAAAGAGGAGGAATGTGTTTTCCAAAAAAATCAAAAAAGGCCATAGTATAAAATAATAAAAAATAAAAGCCTGCAAAGCTTTAAAAATATATTAAAAATTATCTGCAAATAATAATAATAAGTCTTTAGGAAAATATTGAAAAAAAAAATGAAAAGAAAATATTAAAGAAAAGTTTCATATCTGGAAGTAATGGTTATGATATGATTATATGGTAATGGTTTTATATTATATTAAATAATTAATTTTTTCTCAGTGCACTTTGGAGTAAGGCAATAGGTAAGTTACGAATAAAATTCAAAGTAAGGCTGGAGGTCTGGAGGTCTGAAGGACCAAAATGGAACTATGGAGTCCGTCAATCAGCTGAATTGAATTCGTCAGTTGGCCGTGAGGACATATGGTCTAAAAACACGTTCCACTTTGCTGAGTACAATCTAACAGTTTGTTAGAGATGACCCAAAGGAGTCAAAGGTCATAATCCGACTCTTAATTAAGAGGCTTTATTGAAAAAGCGATCTTTTGATAGTTATAGCTTAGAAACTTAAAATAAAACTTAAAATAAACCAAAAATAATCAATAAATTAAAGTAAACGTTTATATAAGCACAGAGTTTTGTTTTCTTTTTAAAAATAAAAAAAAAGGTCAAAGGTGTGCCCTTTTTTCAGGTTGTCCCTCTTCATAAGTAAGCCTCTCCAGTAAGTTTAAGCCTCCAAGTTGTCATGCCTTTATGCAAATTTCGAATTTCTCAATAAATTAACCCGAGAATACCCGAGAACCTGTGACAGGTTCCTGTGACCGTTCCGTTGCCGTGACCCGTTCCCATCACTGTTTTTGGCGGCATGAATCATTTTCATCCCCGGCACGTTGTCGGCATTGTGTCACTGCATTCCGGCTGTCATTCTCACCGCTTTACATGTCCGACTGTGTCTGCGGGTGTCATTCCGTTCCGGAATTCAAAACCCGTCCCATCCCAGCTAACCCCAACTAGCCCCACTTTGATTCCGCGGGGTGGACTCGCATAGAAGGGAGTGTGTGTGTCCTGGTTCTTTGGTTCTATTTTCCCTGATTCCCCATATCCAATAAAGACGCATGCAAATACAAATATTTGCATCGATTTGTGTTGTTCTAGCGACAAGCGTCTCTACTGTGAATCCTGTGTGTCCTGCGTATCCTGTCGCTCCTGTCTCCTGTCTCCCCGTGCTGTCCTGTAGCCCGACATTGTCATTGTTTTTAGTGTTTACCCGGCGTTGACTTTGCAATTTGCTGGCATCTATTTGACTGCACATGATGTGCTACCCAAGGACCCCATTCCAGAGCCCCCCAACCCATATATGGCTTGTGCACTTACCTCGTTTGGCAGCCCATGTCGCAGGCACCAATGGGAGCGGCGGACATCGAGGCCTTCGTCATCATCTCGTGGGTCGCTGTGGTGGTCGAGCTGGACTCCCCGTCGTCGCCGCCGAGGCTCGTTTGGGCCATGTCCGCATGCCGGCGCAGGATGCTGTGCTCCTTGTCCTTGAAGTCCGCCTTGCTGGAGGCCGTCGAGAGGGGCACTGCCTCGCGGTAGTATCGGTTCGAGACGTCGTCCAAGATCTGCAGCGATGTTTGCGAGTGTTTTTGCCTGAAAATAGAGGAGAATCCTCAGGTCAGTAGGAATTTCTAGGATTTCCATTGAAGATCCTATAACCTAAACACTTTTCAAGCCAAACATAATAATTAAACCATCCAACTCATTAGTTTTAATGAGCCAACCAACAAATCCGAATAAAGTGGTTTCAAGTGCTTGGCGCGAACAATTATTTGGATCACACGGCGTATACGTGATTTGTAGAAGCACTCACCTGGAGATGTTCTCCCGCGAACGGGCCTTGGAGTTGCGACCCATCTCGTCCAGCTTGCTCTCCTTGGACTCCCGGATGTGCTCCTGCAAGGCAACGATTCCAAAACAGAAAACGATGAGAAATAGTGGGCGTTGGAAGGGGGTACGATACCAATGTAATAAGCATAACAATAAATATTTTTAATTAATTTGTTGGGAGAGGCGAGGATATGGGAGGGGTAGGGCAGGATATCGTGTCCTTTGGCCCCGAGTAGGGCGCATATCTGCTGCAGAGCTGACCCCGTAAAGCGATATCCTTAAAGCCCACTGCATTCTGTATTCTGCATTCTGCATTCGGCATATAGAGTGGATTATCGTAGGGGCAGGAGCTTGGGGCAGGATCCTGGCAGAGAAGGGGGCTGGGGCGGGCAGAGTAATTAAGCTCAATGCCACCTGATGCCGCTCGCTCTCTGTGTCTCGCTTTCTTTGCAAGCCATTAATGCGCCGCCTGTGAGTGTGCCGGGAGGATAAAAAACAAGAGAGGGACGAGGAAGGGAAAATAAATACAGGGAACGAGAAAGTCCTGGGACGAGGAAAGGTCAGGGTGGAGAGTAAATCCTTCTGCGGGAAGTACTTGATGGCCTGCATAAAGGGAAGCGTTAATACGTAAATACACAATAATGAAAGACGAACTGCATCCGCCAAACAAACAAGAACGAAACCACGAGCCACAACCAGAATCAGAACCAGATTCAAGCCAAGAAGCCCTTGGAAATTCAAAATGGAATACAAGGCAAACATTTGGTGTACCTTTTGCCAATTACACTTCCCCCCAACCCCGTGCCATTTTCATTGTAAAATATCCATCATCCATCCAGTCACCCATTCAATCGAATATCTATTCATTGCAATATAATGGAGGAAATCCAACAAAAAAAAAATAATATGCAAATCGCTAAGGAAAATGCAAACCGAATAAAAATATGGCGAATAGTATCTTTATTCACTCTGGAAACTTTATTCTTCAGTTTACTTTGTACCTGTTTTTTTTTTTTCTACCTCTACCTCTACCCCAATTGGTTTCCGACTTCTGACCAGGCCAGAACGTAATTGGTTTCGATTTGGCAATCAAACGATCTCAGGGATTCATGTATACATTTTTATATATATTTATTTAGGTTTTGCTTTTGCGGTATATAGGGTTTCAGAGCTGTATTAGTTTTGGCAGCAATTCGTTAAACTAATACTCTTTTCTATTCACTTGAAGCTTATTACTCTAGAGTCTAGAATTTTTCTTTTGCCTTTTGCCTAGTATAATTTTGTGATAACTGATTGAATTCCATTTTGATCCATTGTGTCATAAGTACATCATTAAACACGAAGCAAAGCTAGAGCTTTTATGCCTTATTGCATTAATACTGTTAACTATTATGTTCTCACAATGTCGCAATTGAGTAATATATCTAGCTACCAGACCAGGATGTATCTAAGACACCATCCGGGGGTCAGAGGCTTAAAACTTAGTAATGATTGCAAAATGATTCTGATTTCGGAATTGCGGTGATGTTCGCACGAATCAAAGGTTAATGTGGTTGGATTTTTCTTTCAATTTTTGTGCAACTGATGTCCTGATTTTAATGATGCCGATTCTGGATGGTGTTGAATGCCGCAGTGGAACGTGATTTTTTCAATCTTTCTCGATGATTTCTAGATGATTTTGTGAAGGAACTTGAGGGGATTGGCACTGGACTTGGGCTTGCCCAGCGATGGCGGTGGCGGTGGCGTCAGTATTATGTCCAGTTCCATGGAGGTGGACGAGCTGTTGGCCATCGTTCCGGCGCTCATAGTGCCACTGCTGCACTGCATCGAACTGGTGCAGCTGGAGTTGCTCGGAAGACAGTGTCCGGCGACCAGGACGAACTCATCGTCATCCTCGGTGGCGGCGGGCATGGTGGGACTATCACTGTCGCAGCTAAAACCAATGCCATCGTCGTACTCCTGCTCTTCCGCCTCTGGTTCCTCCTCCTCCTCTACCTCTTGCTGCTCCTCCTCCAATTCCATCGCCATGTGCATCGCCTCTTCATTCCTATGCTCGTCCGGCATGGAATGTATATCCCGTATATCCAGATCTATGTCGAAATCACAGTCGCAAGCCTGCATCATCATCATTTGCCCGTTTAGCTTGGGCGAATCCATTTGAGAGTCAAAGTCAGAGTGCGAACTGCCTCCTCTCTCGTCCACCGACTCCACATCGCGAGGCCCATCGTGCCCAACGTTGGGCGCCAATTGGCAATCCGACGAGTAGGAGAAATCGCACATGAAATCATTATGTAATCCCACGAATATCGCGCTCTTGGGCGCATCCAGTATAAACGAATCAATGTGATAGATGCCATCGCTCAACCCTGGCACATCCTGTGGATGAAGCACAAACAGAAAGAGAAGACAGGCAGAAGAGACAGAGAGAGAAAGAGAGAGAGAGAGAGAAAGAGAAAGCGATTGATATAGAAAGAGTGAGAGATAGGAAAAGAAGAACAAAGATCAAGATTTAGAGACAAAGACAGAGAAGGAGAAAGATTTTCACATCACCGATTTAACCAAGAAAGAATAGTGAGAGGATCCAACTCTAGAGCGAAACAACACTACAATGCATATGGAAGTGTGATGCGAGCGACAGGGATAGATATAGAAGTGGTGCATCGTATGCTGCATGCATGATGATGGCAACTCTGGCTAGACAATAAAAGACACAATCATAAAATAAAAGAGCAAGCTTCAAATTCTAGTTGTCTTGTACTTCTGACCTGCAAAGGTGATATCTCTAAGGTGATTAAAATAAAATATTTGCAATAAATCAAATGAAAATATTATCTAATATTGCCTATATGTATAATATCTTGTAAGAAATTAACATGCAACATCCGCTTATTGTAGTTCACAATCATATTAGAAGGTAATTCCCATCACCTTTCGACACAGATAATAGAGCACCCTAGGATATATATTCAGAATATGCACACAATAAGCCCCGGATGGGGAATCCTTGCAACTAATCTGATTTGGCAAGGGGACGGCATCCCTTTGCATTTGTCTTCGATTGGATTGCTTGCAGCTGGTGGTGGTGGTGCAACAAAAGTCAACGATAATTTAATCATGTCTCTCTCTGGAAATCTCACTGGGGTGGATCCCAGTGACTAGTGACTGGTTTGCTGGCCAACTTGATGGGGGGAATGTGGCCAGGAAAGGACAGGCCAGGACATGGCAGGACATAAAGTCCTCCGGCTAAGCCGGTGAGAGGATTTAAGAGGACGAGAAGGAGACGGTGGCCAACTGTGGTTACTGCAGTAGGGGAAATAGTTTATTCCATTTGAATTGTATTGTCAACGATTTGCCACTTGCAACTTTGGCCAATTTGTTGCCTGCCCCTCGACGATACACTCGACGGCGTATGAGTGATATGCAAATGAATAACCACTTCAATGCAAAATAAAACTCAATTTGCTGCGAGTTTGTACCATAATTAATAGATATCATTGCGGCAGATTGCAGCTGGTGTAGCTCCTCCTCAATGGTAACCCAACGATTCAGGGGGGATTTTCACAGCGAAAGAGACAGGAACAATGGCCCAAGAGAGAGAGACAGTGCGAGACAGCAATAAAGACGTGACAAGTCGAAGCTTCGGGGCCTGCTGGTCATCAAGTGAGTTTGTCTGGCCAACATTCTGTCTCCGATTGTATGGGCTTTTGGCCCATCCCTACGGCTTCCTTATGGCTTTTCCTCTTGCCACTGCTTTGCCATTCCATTTTCCGGCTTTTCCTTTTGTGACCTAGAGCCAAATTACTTTGGTCAGTCGTTCTCATTTCCCCCATCGTCCTTTGTGCGACTTTACACATTTTTTTCCCGCAATTTGGCAACTTTTGTGGGAAACATTTAAGACTCATTAAATCATCACATGATTACACAAATTGCTATAGACTTTAAGATAATAATTAAATAATAAAAAGGATAAAGGTTCTAACAAAAGTATAGGACTTAAAAGAACATTATATAGTTTAATGTCAAGAGGTATCTTTAGCTTCGAGAGTGCTAATTACTTCCAAGCTAGAGAACCAAATTCTAATCCCTTTGCCCAAGATTCGCATAACTAGAGAAGTATTTGATTATGCCAGAAGGGATTCTTAGCCATTTGGGAGATAGAGGACTGGGGTCTTATGAAAGTCAACCGCAAAACAGATCCGGATTTTAGGGCCTTTTGTCCCCTTTTTTTGTTTTTGCGGTCGGACGTCCATGAGTTTTTGGTTTCAGTTTCATTTTCAGTTTAAGTTGCTTTCTTTGCGATAAAGTTGTTGTTTGTTTGCTGATTTTGGTTTAATGGCGGACGCTTTATGCCAATTATTGGCTGAATTAATTGAGTTGATGTTCGTTTGTCTTGGCCGACAATTTAATTGGCCAAAACAATTTGGTGGAAATGGCATGTGCCAACATTTCCATTTGTAATTCTATATTTCAGTTTGTGATTTAATAAATTTTTACCACCAAAAAAAATACGTATATATTTTTATTTTTGAAAACAGGAAAAACATATGAGAGATATATGTATGTATGTGGGAAAGTTTGTGGCTTTGCGCTTCGTTGACTTCTGCCTTTTTGGCAGGAACCCCGCAAAAATCTGATGAGCGGAGCGACAGGGCGAAAAGTTTGGCATTTGTTTAATTGGAATTTTTGGGGTTCAGGACTCACTTGACGCGGATACGGACACGGACGAGCCCTCCCATATAAGGTCCTCGAGGGCAATTTGTGAAATTAACTTCGAACAAGTTCCAGCCTCTAATCAGAAACCCATCGCAACTTTCACTCAAAAATATCTATATATATATATTTATTAAATCAGTGTGGTTTTTGTCCATATATCATAGATTTATAATATATTTTATATTCAATATCGTTGCCTTCACGCATAACGCATAGCATTTCTGCTTTTGAAGCTCTTCATTGTTTGATTGGCAACCGTTTGTGAAATATTCCGCTTCATTCGATTGCCTTTAATGGCCAAATCATATTTTATGATTATTGACAATCGTTGCTTTGCATTCCACAAATGCAAA